CTAAATTAAACCATTTATAATTTATAAACTAACTATAATTAAATAAATCTCATATCAGCACACAAATGTGAAACAGAATAGAAAGGTTATCTAGTATGAACCTAGAAGCCTCAAGTAATATTAGAACCTGCTCAATTACAGTCCCTGTCCCCACACGGACAATACATTATTTTATACTTACGAAGCTCCACATGAGGATTTGTGAGTTGTTTCTTTTGTGTATCTCCTCCATCTGCTTCATCTAAAAGGTTTAATATCATTAGTAAAGGCAAAGTTTAAATAGTTATCAGCTCACTTTGTCTTGTCTTTTTTCCCTGATATAACAACAAAAATTAACAAATCAACAATATAGATATCCTGGTCAAGACACGATCAAACTATCATTAGATATACACTTAAGTGTGTGAACTATTATAATAAAAATGTAAGTATCTTTCAAAAGTCCAATTTTTAGATTTAAAAAAATTCGAAATATTGGGTTGAAGAATTTTTCTTACATTTAAGTGATTCCTAGGATAACAATATGCTAACTCAGCTCTTAACATCAAGAAGTTCTATGGATTCTTTACCAGAGTTTATAACCAGTTTCCCTATGTGTATGGAATAATGCTTCCCAAATAGTATGTGATGCTTCCTTTATTACGCTGAGCCATACATGCAATATGTAAAATATACTGAGATCTACTTCAGAGCCATTTTCTGTATTTGACTGATTTCTCTGGCAAATCTTATGTCAGACCCACTCTGTTTAATTATTGCAGATTTGGAATACATTTTAATATCTAGAAGAACAAGTCATCCCCTAAGTTTCACATTTCAAAAACTTTTTTTTTCAAAGTACCAGTGCCTTCCCAGGATCAAATTATAAGCACCTACAACCCAATAGCAGTCTACAGAATACTAAACAGATGTCTTTATTGCTAATGAAAATTCATTATACAATGGCTATTTTTTAAATTACTAATTCATGGTCTAACTCAAGGGTCATCAAACTATTTCTATAAAGAGCCAGATAGTAAATATTTTACTCTGTCGCAACTACTCAACTTGCCAATGTAATGCGAAAGCAATCAGACAATAAGTAAATGAATGAGCATGCCGGTGTTCCAATAAAACTTTATTTACAAAAACAGGTTTGCCAATTCCTAGTGTAATGCCATATCCTAAAGAAAATATCAAAGTGAGTACGGACATAATAGCCTCAACCTTCCAGGGACTGGAAAAGAAAGGAGACATCTGAAGGGGCAGTAGAATGAAAACATTCAATTTACATGTCAACTTCAGTTAAGTCCTCAGTAATTTCTGAAGACATTATTTTTACCACTTTACAGGTAAGGAAACTAACACAGTAAGTGATACCAATGAAATGTGAAGACAGGACTCTCCAAGCCCCACACTTTTTCTATTCTACCATACTGAGATGTGAAAAGAGAGGGAAGGCCTTGGTTTTGGCACTAAGAATTATGTACTTGCGGCTATAAGGGGAATTAAGCAACTAATATAAATAAAGCCTAGAGTGAGCACATTTGGTTTCCTTTAACACACCTTGAGGCTCATTGCCTTGATTCTCCGTCCCCTCCTTGCCCGTCTGCCCAACCTGGTAGTAAGCACTATCTGCTCCACGTAAGGTCTCTCTCTTCTGGGAAGAGAGGTCAGGGCTTTTCCCTGCTGTCCCTCGGAAGAAGGACAACACTCCAGAAGCCTTTTTGGCTAAAAATAAGAGGTAGCATATTAATTTTAAGTACAGGTCACTGCAGTTAGAAAAATAAAAAAATGTTCAACTCGTTCCTCTGCTAGCAGTAACCATTATATGAGGGAATAAATGTAAGTAACACTGATACTTATGTTTGCATTGATTATTACTCCACATGTTTTATGCTTTTTTGAGTAGTTAAGTGCTCTTATATCAAAAACAGGAAAGCAAAGCTTAAATAGCTCTCAAACGTGAGAAATTCTACAGAATGCCTTTCAAAAATATCTTTTAAGGACAGTTGTAATATATTAAGCAACAAGATTAAGTTAGGGCTGAGTTCTTATAACATTACAGTATAGTTAAACTAAAAACAATTTTACAAGCTACAAGAATTCAGAGTTAAAGGCAATATATTCACATCATTTGTGTTCCTAGTTTTCAACATTATAAAATACAAGATTTTGCTTTCAACATCTTTCAAAAAATAAACAGTATAGGATGACCAAGAATTTTACAAGTTTGTTCTCTAGTGTTGCTCTTAGTTTTGAGCTTTATCATATCAATAGTATGTGTGACTGTAATCTTACATCATTTATCATTTATAAAATCCACAAAAAATGTTAATCATACAGTGCTTACTTAGGATGGCAGACACCATAATTGCCTCCTTAACATCTACTCCTCCCTTGCTCCTTGCTAACAGGAACTACAATTTGTTTGGGGCAACAATGTGCAGAGCCCCAGGAAATGGATCATGATTTATATAAGCCAACCAGGACAAAGCTTCTGACTACTACTTCCATCTCCTTTGTAGTGAGGAATGACCATGAGACTCAGTTCTGACCAGAGAGGCTTAAGAGCAAGCCTGTGCTTTCCTAATAAAAGCAAACAGCTACAGCTTACACCTCCCTTCTTCCTGCCTCAGATGCAGACATTAAATGAACATTTGTGACCATGAGGAAAAATAAGAGACTCTCAAGAGAAATTTCCCCTATATTGTCACAACATTGCTGAGCAGCTGAACCAATGCCAGCCACAGCCTACCCACAGATGTTGCGATCTTAGAAAAAAATGTCATTTAAGCCCCTATAGTCATTTGAGTCTTCTATTATTTATAGCTGAATGCATCCTGACTAATGTCAGAGAGGCCTGAGTACAAATCCAGCTCCACTGTACAATCTTGAGCAAGTTACGTACTTTTTCTTAGTCTCAACTACCTTATCTGAAAAATAGGGATATGTCAAATAATATTTATATGGTTACTATGGGATTAAAGGAGATACTGCATGAAAAGTTCTCACAGTGCCAAAAATACTGTTAAAATCTAAAACAAAGTTAACTGCTGCTGTGTTTCTTAGGTTATACCCTTTAAACTGAAAGCTTTAGGAAGGCAGATGCTGGTTTTTGTTTTTGTCTTTTTTGCACAGACCAAGGATGTTTTAAGGTAAGACTCAAAAGAAGAAAAGCAAAACATGGATAAAAGATAAAATTTTTTAAAAATCTATATACAGTTCATTCCCTGGGTTACGAACATCTGACTTATGTACAACCTGTAGTTATGAACAAACCCCCATAAAGCCCCATTATGTTAAAAATTCGAGGTACATAAAATGGTTCATAATAACAAACAGGCACTACTTTGTAACACGCATCTAAACATTATTATTACTGTATTATTATGTTGAAGATGTTTTTGGTATATCTGGAAGTGTTTCTTTAAATGTTTTTATGCACAGAAAGATACACTATGTACTGTATACTAAGACAAGCATTTGACTAACTGACATTACAGACAAACTGTACCTAGCTGGTCTGACGTACATACAAATTCAACTTCAGAAAGGAACTTGTTCTTAATCCAGAGACTGCCTGTATTTCAAATACCAGAAGTACGGTTATTTTGACGCAAATAATAGTGCACCTTCTGCATTTGCCTGCTGGCTGTGGGCCCCCCACCCCCACCACCACACCCCATCCCATGAGGCACTCTCACAAGCCAAACCTCTTCCACAGGTTGCTGTAAAAAAAAAACCATTCTTCCCTCACAGGGAGGGCATGGCCAGCAAACAAATGCAAAAGGTGCACGTTACTTGCATAAAAATACAGTAGTAAATCTTTGGAGATGGCGTTTCTTCTTTAATGTGTTTAATTCTTCAAACCATAATTACAAATAAAACTAATCATGAATACTTCTCCCTTTGTAATCTTACTTGGTTGTGGTTCTGCTTCTGCTGTCCGGTTTGTCTGTCCTCCACTGATGTCAGGCAATCTAACAGGGCTGCTGCTCTTTGGTCTGCTGTCTAAAGTACTAAAATGAAAAACACAGGAGAAGCAGGCTTCATATTATTCAGATAGAAAATAACAAGTACTCTGATTCCTACACTTATCTACTCTCCATCTAACTCATCCACAATATCAGAAATCTGATTCATAGTTTATATGAACACAGGTTAGAATACGAAAGAAAAAGTTTTGAAATAACTACTAAACTTAAAAAATAAAATGTTACAACTATAAAAGAAGTATGGAAAAAAATATATGAAGCACAGGCTTTTATAACAGTTTTCTCAAGTCCATTATACTCTATTAGTAATCAAAAGTCAAACAAAGAAAATAGCAATTTCATATTTCTCATACTAGTCATCAAGAAGAAATATTAATTCAGATAAAATTTTATCCTGGTAACAAAGTTGGCAGACCTATTTCAGTAAGAATCCTAATAATGAGCCTGTGACAATTTTAAATGTCTAAAATACTGAACACGCTAAAAGGACTATGTTTTTGGGGGGGGGGGGTTAACAATTAGATTCTTTAATTATCATGTAACACCTGCAATTTCAGGTAAGTAGTAACTTTCTTATTCCATAAATTACTATCTTTTTTTTAATGAAAATGGTAAAGAGAAGTTAAAAGTTTAAACCTACAATATACATTGAACAGCTACTGCAATTATGAAAAAAGTGTACTGTAACGCACTGTTTATGGTCTTTTGATATACTTGAATTTTGTTGTTTCAATTATTGTCTGAGGAGCCCCGATGGCGCAGTGGTTAAAGTGCTCAGCTGCTAACTTAAAGGTCGGCGGTTCGAACCCATCAGCCATTCCACGGGGGAAAGATGTAGCAGTCTGCTTCTGTAAAGACTACAGCCTTGGAAACCCTATGGGGCAGTTCTACTCTGTCCTACAGGGTCCATACGAGTCAGAATCAACTCAACAGCAACAGATACAAGGATTGTCTGAAGTATGAGCACCATTATCTGTATCCTAGCAATTTTCATGCTAATATTATGCTATAACACAATTGAAGAATTAGTACTTAGAAAATGATGACAAAATTGAATGAAATAGATGCTACTCAATTATGGATCACCTATTTGTTTGAAGCCCTTCTTCGGCACTGTTCCACAGAGTAGCTTTGGACAATTCCTCTAAGGCATTTCGGTATTCTTTACAACTTCGGGTAGAAACAGATTGAAAACTGTTAAACATTAAGCTTTTCTTTCAAAATGAATCATATGCTTCAGAATAAGCTTTGAATTACAGAAATACATCATTATCCAGAAATGTCAATAATTAAACAAATACATTTGGGTTAACTAACAAAAGTGAGCAAGTAGAAGCTTCATGAGGAAGGTCAATGTCTTCTAACAAAACAATACAAAATACAATCCACCAACACACCAACCAATATCATCATCCTAAACAATGATCAGAAAGGCTTACTAACATTTACATCAAATGCCTTCAGAGGTTGAACAGGTAATTTGTAAGTATGAAACTTCAGGGTTTAGTACAACAGAGTAGGAAAGAACTTGAGAGTATTTTCCCACTTAAAAGTACTGAACTTTAAGAAAAAAAAATTTTTTTAATGTTGCATTGGCCAAAAAAATCCTTCAACTCTAGACAGCAGTCCATCACTCAGATGTCAGGGAACAAGAGAGGCATCTTAAGGGGTGTTATTTTTCCAAGACATTGAAAAAAGGTGACCTCAAGTAGAATAATTGCTCCCTAACAGTACAAAAGATATTTCTGATTTAGTTGACTTTCCGAACTTTCTTATCTACTAATGTAGTATGACAATTCAATAAAGTGAGAAGCAAATACTATTTTCCTAAAGGCCAAAAGGGAAAAATACAAAATCTTTCATGCAGCATCTTATACAGGAAAAATATTCATTACCCAAACAGTAAATGCTAAACTCCATTAAGGCAGAGGCATATAAATCTGTCTTGTTTACCCCTGTATATCCAATGCCTAGTATAACACATATTGTAGACACTCAAACATTTGTTGAATAAATGGCCTCCTTGTTTAGAAAGAAAAATTAATTTTTTTTCCATTGGAAGGCATTAAAATTTTTATTTTTAAAAATTTTAGATTTTACTTAAACTAATTTCAACCATTGCTAAGGTAACTTTAAGATTAAAAATCTTAGTATTAACATTTATTTTGGACATAATATATAATAAATATGTTTGAAATGGAGTGCTTCTTTAAGGCACATGATAACTGTGGGCACGTAAATTAAAAAATCAGAAATGCCTAGGGACTAAGAGACAGAAACAACATTACTCTAAGTAGAAAAATGTTACCTCGTAAGTGTGGAAGCAAGAAGGAAATAAAGAGTACAAAAAAGATATCCAGATGATATAAAGCAAATATATAGCAATATTATATTAGTAAGTAAATGGAAGGAAGCTATAAAGCAAGTGGGCACGATGCACGCGTATTAGAGAGAATGGTTAGAGAATTCAAGGATTAGTATAAATAATTTACCGAATAAATTTCTTTATTAGGAGCTTAAGAGTCATCCTGTATCCCATTATTTAGAGGAAAAGAAGGTTTACAGTTACAAAGAGACCAGGCTATCACGCCCAAAGAATATATATTTTGCTTACATTTAATCTTTTTCCTTTACCTATGTGAAAGATCCCAAAAATAAGGTGATTAATAAACATGCATAAAATATATACATACAACCATAGGTGAAACAGTCCCAAGAATAATACCTGAGAGCAAAAGCAATGATGGAGCTGGGTTCCTTCTCACAGACTGCAATGGGCACCCGTTCATGTTCATACATCAAGTAGTGTTTATCTGGATCACTGTTCAAAATTTAAAGATAAATAAATGAATAAAAACAAAATTAGCAGAATATTACATATACAGACCCTTAGCACATGACAAGTAAATCTCAAGACAATTTTCAGTTAACTAAATTCTGCACACTAAGAATATAAGTAGTCAAAATGTATGTAGATGCTGAGAACTTGAACCAAATAGGTAACAAAAAGATATCAACAGAAAGTTTTTGATTGATTTTATTTTATTTTAATTGTACTTTAGATGAAGGTTTGAAGAACGAACTAGCTTCTCATTAAACAGTTAGTACACATATTGTTTTATGACTGATTAACAACCCCATGACATGTCAGTACACTCCCTTCTCGACCATGGGTTCCCTATTACCACTTTTCCTGTGCCCTCCTGCCTTCTAGTCCTTGCCTCTGGGCTGGTTTGCCCCGTTAGTCTCGTTTTGTCATATGGGCTTGTCTAATCTTTGGCTAGAAGGGGAACCTCTGGAGTGACTTCATTACTGAGCTAAAAGGGTGTCGGAGGGCCATACTCTCGGGTTTCTCCAGTCTCTGTCAGGCCAGTTAAGTCTGGTCTTTTTTTGAGTTAGAATTTTGTTCTACGTTTTTCTCCAGCTCAGTCTGGGACCCTCTGCTGTGATCCCGGTTAGAACAGTCAGTGGTGGTAGCCGGGCACCATCTAGTTGTACTGGACTCAGTCTGGTGGAGGCCATGGTAGTTGCGGTCCATTAGTACTTTGGACTAATCTTTTCCTTGTATCCTGTTTTCTTCACTCTCCCTTGCTCCCAAAGGGGTGACACCAGTGGAGTATCTTACATGGCTGCTCACAGGCTTTTAAGACCCCAGACGCAACTCACCAAAGTAGAATGTAGAACATTTTCCTTATAAACTACGTTGTGCCAATTGAGCTAGACGTTCCCTGAGACCATGATCCCCACAGCCCTCATCAAGAGAAAGTTTCTGAAGGCAATTTAAAACATTATGAGAACTAGGTCTCAAATCAGAGGTTCTGGAGTAGTCATTCCAAATAAAGCTTTCCGTACTACTAAGACTTTGGGCCGTATTAATCTAAAAAAGGATTTACAATGAAGAGCAGGAGTCTAAAATATTTTGTTCTACTCTCAGCTTGAGAGAAAAGTCTTCTAGAAATTGTAGAAAAGATATACTACTAGCCCAACAAATAATACAACACAGCCACTCTCCTAGTATCACACAGGAACTCTCTGGCATGACTATCTGAATCCCTAATCTTGCTCCCCTGATTTCCACTCTAATTCCCCAGACACTATCAGACATATTCAATCTGTGAAATAGTTATTTACTGAGAACCTATCATGTGCCAGGGATATAATATTAAGAAAAACTGCTACTAAGAACCTAACATGTGCTAGATGTTAACAATACAATGCTTAGGGGGAAAAATTAGGCATGGTAGAGTGTACAATATAAGAGGATAAAGAAACAAATAATCCTAAAAATAAATATAAGCACTGTCTGTGGTGATAAGTACTATGAGGAAGCCATGAGAACCTATAACAAAGAGACCTAATTTGGTCTGGGCGAGGGATGGGAAAGATCTAGGAAGGAAGGTTTTCCTGAGAAAGAAATGAGTAAGAGTTAAGATTAAGAAAGAAGGTGAAAGCATATGCAAAGGCCATAAAATAGTTATTCCCTCAGTTTACTCACTTTATATTCAGAAAAAATAAGCAATTATTTTCAGAACCAGTAACCTCGAGCATTAAGTAACATTAGTTAATGCTTTCTTCCCCTGCTCATCTACTATATAATAAGGATTATATGCTCCACAAATTACATTATATCAAAACACATCTCTTTTACTATGACAAAATATAATTTAGGCTTGAGAAACACATATAAGTAAATATATCTAAATAATTAGAGAGTAAGTCTATCCAGAATTAGTTTAGAAATTAAGTGAAAATAAAACCACCCAACAGCCACTGGCTTTTATAGTACTTACAAAGGAAATGGAATAGGATTATAGCTATTTCCTGGAAGCAAATTTGCAAAGATGGCTTTCATGGTTGATTTTTCCTTCACCTGGCTGTCTGTGGATCCCAGCAAATGTCCATCAAACACATCTAGGATGAAAAATATATGTTAATATTCAGGAAGAATAAGAAAGTATAAAGGGTCAACTTTATTTCTTTTTGGAATATAGACATACGCACACCATAACTACCCATTGTGGTTTAAAATTTCTTATCTAGGAATTGTGACTCTTAAGAGATCAAAGGAAGTGATAGTGCAGCATATACAGCAGTGACTTCAGGGGCGCCTTTTATCACACTGTAACATCTCTGAAATTGGGGTCATCCTACAACTGATGACTTCTTACATCATAGGCGTCCAGGCCACAGCCATGATGAAATTACTGCCTGAGCATGCATGAACTTAACAACAGCTGTTCATGTTGCCACTTCAACTCAATTATATGCACTGTGGTTATTACACCTGAGCTTCATTGCAATTTAAAGTCTTAAAGGTTTACACCAGAGTTAAGCAGTTACTGTGTAAACAGAAAGCAAGGAAAGAGAGATGCATGGCATAAATTTGCTATTGTTGTTAGGTGCCACCAAGCTGATTCCGAGCCATAGCAACCCCATATGACAGAGTAGAACTACCATACAGGGTCTTCTGGGCTGTAATCTTTACAGAAGCAGATCACTAGGTCTTTTCTCTAGTGGAGTCGCTGGGTGGGTTCAAACCGCCAACCTTTCTGTTAGCAGTTGAGCACTTAGGGTTCCGTAAAAATTTGCTATTAGTGAAGCAAATATTTATCGTTGGAGAAATGGCTGCAATGTCTCTATTTTCTTATAAAGCAACAAACACGTACTTTATGGGACTTAAGAAAGTAAGATTCCCAGAAAGTAGATGAAGCTGCATGACATTTTGTTACTGATAGATCTACGTGTCATTTAGTGCAACTGAAGGAAAAAGTGATATAATAAAAAGCTATATCTAAATTAAGTCTAAAAGAGCACTTTCAATAAGTACAAAATTTTTTTAAAAATTCTAAAGGGTGAAAAAGCATTGTCAAAGAATTTGCAGTGTTTTTCTTTTTTGGTGATACATTAAAAAAAAAAGAGGCATCTTTCAGTCTTAGATTCACTGAAGTACAGTAAAAGTGACTAAACTGTACCTTCGGAACTGCTGACTGTATCGAGTTCAGGGGGCCCTCCTACCATCTGCTCAGACATGACTTCAGGTGGAGTCGGCAGCTGAAGATGGGCAGAACTGGTGGAGCTCTGACTGGACAGGGTTGTTAAGAAGCGATCCTCTAAAGAAAAACATGATCTTAAATGAGTCATTTAAAAACGCTAAGTCCATTTCTGCATAATATAAATGTTTCCAAAATGCCAACTAATATTTCTACTTCCTAAAACATTGGATTTTAGCTTCTTAGAAATGAACTAGGCTATTTAGCTCATGTTATATAAATGTGTACAAAAATTTAAGAAGTTAAATGACTTGACCATAATTAAAATCTTATTGGCAGTACTGTAACTGGCAACAAGTTTGACTCCTCTCCAATATTCTTTCCACTATACCACAATTCCTACCCAAATATAAGTTCATTCAATTTAACAAGGAATGAAATTAGGATACTACTGGGGGGAAAAAATCACATGCTCATTCTGAGAGAGAAAAAAAAAAACTCATCTAATTGTAACAGAAAAAAGTCAAGAATTATGAGTTTGAGCTCCTGTTCTATAGACTAAATTTCCTACAAATTTTCTAGGGTGGTAACGCGGTATTCAATGAAATACTATGAGAGACATCTTAAGGCTAGAAAAGATTTTAGTGGCATAAAAATATAAATTTTCTAAGATTCTTACAGTGAAACTTTTGAAATAATCAGCAAAACAGAATTCAATTTCCTTTTTTGTCTTTGTACTTCCCCTAACAGCAGTCCTCTCTATATATTATGTATTTCTTTATCTTATTTTCTTTCAATATACTTTATAATATTCTTAAGCTGCCAGGGTTATAAATGCTCTAAAGAAAGTAAAAAAAAAAAAATAAAAAGTTTATGAACAATTACATCAGAAATAGAAATACTTAAAATTAACAGTTAAACAAGATTTATAGACTAAGAAATTTCCTTAAGTCCAACAGCAGGTGATCACTAGACTCAAAGACCAACCTTTCTCGCCATTTTGAAGTCCTGGAGAAACATTCCGTGGAGTTGCATCCATTGTACTTATCTGTGGAGCAGATACTTTGTTATTAAGGAAACATTAAAATCACATTTTTTAAATTCTCTAACCCAGCAAATACTACACTTCTGGGCTCATGACCTCTTTACACTCTTAAAAAGGATTAAGCACCTGCAAATCTTAATTTTTACCTTGTTAGAAATTAAAATTGAGAGTTTTTAGAATATGCACTTACTCATTTAAAAATAACAATAAACACACTACATATTAACATAACTAACATTTTTTTTTTTTTTTACAAAAAAAAAACTATGTTCCACAAAAAATGGTGAAACGAGTGGCACTGTTTTACACTTTTACAGGTATCTTTAATGTCTAGCTTAATAGAAGACAGCTAAATTAATATCTGGCTCCTACATTTAATCTGCTAAGATATATCGTTCCGATTGAAATATATAAAGAAAATCCAACCTCATAAGTATGCAACTGAAAAACGGAGATCTTGCGGATTCCCTGAAAATCTCAAATTCCCAGGGGTCCTTTAACCACTCTTTGAGGATATTGCTCTAAATAGCTCACTTCTTAGCATTAAAGCATCTAAGAACTACTTAAGATTATTCATCTAAGTCCAGGAATCTTCTATTATCCACTTTTCTCAAGTCCCACATCCACAGATAAGATATACTTAGAATGCCTAAGCCCCATGTACGATATGATTACAAAGTCACTTCTAAGGTCTTCGCTTAAAGGTCACCATATCAGAGAGACTTTCCCTGGCCACTCTATATAAGATAGCCAATCATCATCACTACTACCACCCACTCCCTCAACAAGGCTCTATCTCCCTTATTTTTTTCTTTATAGCCTTTTTTATTTTTTCTATATTTATTGGTTCATCTGTTTACTGTCATTCTCCCCCTCATCAGACAAATGTTCCATAGGGACAAAAACTATGGTCTTTGTTCTCAACTGTACACATTGTACCTAGAACAGTGTCTAACACATAGTTCCCAAGAACTATTTATCAAATGAATGACAATAATGGCAGTTCTACAGATTTTCAAATCAACTTTCAATCTTTCAAAAAGATGATTCTAAGTTGAATGATTTTGTATTTTTAGTTCTGTATCTACATACTATAATTTAAAGATCTTATACCATTAGCTTTGCAGTTTCTTCACTGGGAAAACGGAAAGGCCATCAGCAGTCTGTAGCAGTCATTAGTAGCCTTAGACTAGCTGGCAAATACTAACATACAGATCATCTTCAGTTACCCTGATTCTTACTCCCACCTAAACTTTAAGGAAAATGATTCTTACCCAGTTGTTTAAGAGACAAAGAATTCATTTATATATTACTAAACAACACACGTATCTCAGGCACTTGGATCCATCATTCCAAGAAAATATTCCTCTACAAATACTACATATTCTTCTATAAATACTACACACTTATACCAAAAGAAAACACTCTGGCGAAAGCTTTCATAGTATCGGAACATTAAACCTTTAATATACTGAAATTAACTCATCTACTATATGGTAAGTGTGGTACGCAGAATTTTAAGATGTCCCCCAGGATTCCCAATCCCTGATGTACATACACTTTTCCCCAGATATTCAATCAAATACTACTCTAGGTACTGCTATGAAGGGATTCTACAGATGAAATTAAGGTCCCAAATCAATCGATCTTAAAATAGGGAGATTATCCAGATGGGCCTGACCTACTCTCATATAAACCCTTTAAATCTGTGTCTAGAAATCAGATGCACAGGAATTAAGAGATTTGAAGCAAGAGAAGAATTATGCATTGTTGCAGGCTTTGAAGACTGGGGGGAGGGTCATGTGACAAGGAGTACGGGTGGCCTCTAATGCTGAGAATGGCCTCCAGTCAACAGCCAGCAAGAAAAGAGGGTCCTCAGCCTATAACTACTACTAATTGAATTCTGCCAACAACCTGAAAGAGCTTAGAAGTGGCTTCTGAGCCTCAGATAAGATAAAAGCCCCAGCCAAAACCTTGATTTCAGCCATGCAAGACTATGAGCACAGAACCCAGCCAGGCCATGCTAAATCCTTGGCACAGGGAAATTGTGAAATGACAAATCTGTATTGTGTTAGGCCACTAAGTTCGTGGTAGTTTGTTATGCAGCAATAGAAAATTAGTATCAGAAAAGGCTAATTAAATCAATGTGTAGCACTAATTCATTCAGACCCCTTGAGAAAAGCAACTCATTTAAGCAGAGGTAAAGAACACCCAAAACTGTGTAGTAAACTAAATTAGGGCTCTACTGTATCTCAGAGCATCCACACTTCTCCCTTGTAGCACTGACTGCCGCATGATGCTACTCTCAGTGATGCAGGTAAATAGAAGCTTCAAATTAATGTTTCAAATGAACGAATTATAACAGACCATTTTCTTTCACAGCAGGATATAAAAGTAATCCAGGTGACGTCTCCTTGCGCGGTGCAATGAATTACTTAATATGGCCCTTCTAGCCATAGTCTTTGTGACTCACAGAAAATGACTGAGTAGTATCATGCAATAAGGTATATGGAACCCTAACAAGGGGATTGGTCACTTTTGCCATTCTGCTAGGCTTAAAATGAGCCATCTAGGAGGCAGAGTGGACAGGATCTCACCACCACCAAGAAAGAAGGGCCAGGAGTGGAATATGTCCTTTTGTACCTGGGATCCCTACACTGAGAAGCTCCTAGAACCCTGAGACCAAGAGAGAGCACTGTAACATCGAAGACAGCAAGAAGCAGCGGTAAAGAAACGGTGGCAGCAAAGGCAGGAGACTGTCAGGAGACACTGCAGTGAGCTTCCTGGCCCACAGAGCGAGAAAACTGAGCGCCTTCAGGCAGGAGGCTTGCTGGAGTAGGGTGCCCCCAAGCACTTGGTGGAGCTAGGTTTGTGGACTAGCAAGTTAGAGCTGAGTGCCTTCAAGCTGAGGCTTACTGGTAGAGCAGGGTGCCTCTGGGTACGTACTGGTGGAGCTAAAAGAGCTTTGTAACACTTGCACAAGCAGGGCAGAAGCCAGGTCTAGGGGCCAAAGTCCAGAGACAGACCTGCCTGCAGGCATGGCTGAAAAGAGGCTGTCCTGATCAAAGAACTGTATCCCAAGCCTTCCTGAACCTGAATTGTAACCTGTTACTTCCCTAAGGAGGACCTGAAGCACTCCCTGATAAGATAAAACACTACAGTCTTCAATATGGATTGTATCTCAACATAAAGAAAACAAAAATGCTCGAACTGGACCAATAAGCAACATCATGATAAACGGAGAAAAGACTGAAGTTGTCAAGAATTTCCTTTTACTTGGATCCACAATCAACACCCATGGGAGCAGCAGTCAAGAAATCAAACGAGGTGCTGCACTGGGCAAATCTGCTGCAAAAGACCTCTTTAAAGTGTTGAAAAGCAAAAATGTCACTTTGAGGACTAAGGTTTGCCTGACCCAAGCCATGGCATTTTCAATTGCCTCATATGCATGCAAAAGCTAGACAATAAATAAGAAAGACCGAAGAAGAATTGACACCTTTGAATTATGATGTTGGTGAAAAATACTGAATATACCACAGACTACCAGAAAAACAAACAAATCTGTTTGGAAGAAGTACAGCCAGAATGCTTCTAAGAAGCAAGGATGGCAAAACCTCTTCTCAAGTACTTTGGACATGTCATCAGGAAGGACCAGTCCCTGGAGAAGGACATCATGCTTGGTAAAGCAGACGGTCAGCAAAAAGAGGAAGACCCTCTCTAAGATGGACTGATACAGTGGCTGTAACAATGGGGCTCACGCATAACAACTATTGTAAGGATGGCGCAGGACCAGGCAGCGTTTAGTTCTGTCGTACACAGGGTTGCTATGGATTGGAAGTGACTCACGGCACCTAACAACTTCCCTAATAAACCCCATAACTGTGAGTGTGGTCTGTGAGTTCTGTATGCCCAATGCAATGAATTATGGAACCCAGCAGAAAAGCAGAGAGTGCTATGGGAGGAACAGTTTTGTCAGAACTAGTAAAAAAGTTGAAGGGTAGAGGCATGTCTGACCCCGGCCTCATAGGAATCAGTCTTGGGCTATTGATCTTGATTCTCCTTCCCCCTTGTGAAATTAGATGAGAAGGTCAGACACCACTGCCACACCATTTTTACACCTTGAAACCTTTTAACTTCAAGATGGAAAACCCTATTTAATATTAATAAACCATGTTTTAAACTCACTTCTAAAGGTCATAAATGGAATTACAACAACAGTATTTACATCAATGGAGGAAAAGAGATAAGATCCTATTTTATTACCTTGCTTTCTTCCCCTTGTCTCAGTCTTCCAGGACTTGGAGGAACTGAAGGTCGTTTTCTACCCTTTTCTTGCTGAAAAAGGTCCTGCAACCTGTGGTCAAAGGGGAAAAAAAAAAAAAAAGAATATGGTTTTGTTCTTGTAGCCTGAATGATGTCTACAAATTTTCTCTTTACAATTTTGAAACTACAATAATTAAATTTCCCTATTTGGATTACAAAAGATTTTAAAGTTATATATAACTAAGTTGTTGCCTTACTTCTAATCAACTGGCTCTTGCTGCTTAAGACTGCAGATGTGAAAGAACAGCAAGTTATCGTAAGAGGCAGCACAACATAATGGAAAAAACATGTGCACTTTAAGAGACCAAAAGACCTGGGCTCAAATCCCAGCTCTGATAATTAACAGCTGTATAGCCTTGGGCAAAATCCTTAATTTCCTGGAGTCACAGTTTCCTCTTCTGTAAAATGGGAACGGTACATATCCTGTCACCTCCAAAAAAACCGGTTGCCATCAAGTCAATTCCAACTCACAGCAACCCTACAGGAGTAAAACTGCCCCACAGGGTTTCCAAGGAGCAGCTGGTGGATTCGAACTGTTGACCTTTTGTTAACAGCCGAGCTCTTAACCACTGCACCACCAGGACTCCATATATCCTGTAGACTCATAAAAACCAAATGAAAGAGTGAATGCCTGCCAGTCTAGTGCCTTATTTAGTGCCTAGCATAATCCAAATGCTCAATAAGTGGTAGCTATAATAATCTAAGTAAGCTTTGAAATAAACTCAATGTTTTTTAAAAAAATTTTTAAAGCATTTCCAAAATAAAAAAAATATATTTCCAAAAATAAAAATATAAATAAAGGTATAAAACACACATAATAATATATTTGAAATCCCTGACCTAAAAACCAAGTCACTCCATCGCATACTAATTCACTTATCCAATAACAATTCAGTAAGTACTGAAATAATTAAACAATATTTGAAACAGCACTGAACACTGTCCTCATCTTTGATTTTTATATCTTCACCAACTACCTAAAGATTAGTACATATATTTTAAAGGATGAAGGTGAGAAGCTGGTGGTGACAGAAAAACAAGTTCTCTAACTTGGGAGTAAAATGAAACACCCAAAATTAATGTTGTTGTCGTCAGGTGTGTCGAGTCAGTTCCAGCTCACAGCGACCCTGTGCGCCACAGAACAAAACACTGCACAGTCCTGTGCTGTGCTCACAATCCTTGTTATGCTTGAGCCCACTGTTGCAGCCACTGTGTCAATCCATCTCGTTGAGGGTCTTCCTCTTTTTTGATGACCCTGTACTTTACCAAGCATGACGTCCTTCTCCAGGAACCAATCCCTCCTGACAACATGTCCAAAGTATGTAAGATGTACTCTTGCCATCTTTGCTTCTAAAGAGCATTCTAATTGTACTTCTTCCAAGACACATTTGTTCGTTCTTTTGGCCATCTAGAATACAGGCAGTATTCTTTGCCAACACCACAATTCAAAGGCATCAATTCTTCGGTCTTCCTTATTCACTGTCCAGCTTTCGCATGCATGTGATGCGACTTGAAAATACCATGGCTTGGGTCAGGTGCACCTTAGTCTTCAAGGTGACATCTCTGCTTTTCGACACTTTAAAGAGGTCTTTTGCAGCAGATTTGCCCAATGCAATGCATCTTTTGATTTCTTGACTGCTGCTTCCATGGGTGTTGACTATGGATCTAAGTAAAATGAAATCCTTGACAACTTCAATCATTTCACCATTTATCATGATGTTGCTTATTGGTCCAGTTGTGGGGATTTTTGTTTTCTTTATGTTGAGGTGTAATCCATACTGAAAGCTGTCATCTTTGATCTTCATCAGTAAGTGCTTCATGTCCTCTTCACTTTCAGCAAGCAAGGTTGTGTCATCTGTGTAACACAGGTTGTTAATGAGTCTTCCTCCAATCCGGATGCCAAGTTCTTCTTCATTTAGTCCAGCTTCTCAGATTATTTGCTCAGCATACAGACTGAATAGATATGGTAAAAGGATACAACTCTGACGTATACCTTTCCTGACTTTAAATCACGCAGTATCCCCTTGTTCTATCCAAACAACTGCCTCTTGATCTATGTAGAGGTTCCTCATGAGCACAATTAAGTATTCTGGAATTCCCATTCGTCACGATGTTATCCATAATTTGTTATGATCCACACAGTTGAATGTGTTTGCATAGTCAATAAAAAACAGGTAAACATCCTTCTGATATTCTCTGCTTTCAGCCAGGATCCAACTGACATCAGCAATGATACGCCTGGTTCCACATCCTCTTCTGAATCCGGCCTGAGTTTCTGGCAGATCCTTGTCAACATACTGCTGCAGCCACTTTTGAATGATCTTCAGCAAAATTTTACTTGCGTGTGATATTAGTGATATCATTCAATAATTTCCGTGTTCAGCTGGATCACTTTTCTTGGGAATAGGCATAAATATGGATCTCTTCCAGTCGGTTGGCAAGGTAGCTGTCTTCCAAATTTCTTGGCATAGACAAGTGAGCACCTCCAGTGCTGCATCCGTTCGTTGAAACATCTCCACTGATATTCCGTCAATTCCTGGAGCCTTGTTTTTCACCAATGCCTTCAGTGCAGCTTAGACTTCTTCCTTCAGTACCATCGCTTCCTGATCATATGCTACCTCTTGAAATATGTGGTATAATGACTCTGTGTATTCCTTCCATCTTCTTTTGATGCCTCCTGCGTCATTTAATATTTCCCCATAGAATCCTTCACTATTACAACACGAGGCTTGAATTTTTACTTCAGTTCTTTCAACTTGAGAAATGCCAAGCATGTTCTTCCCTTTTGGTTTTCTATCTCCAGCTCTTTGCACATGTCATTATAATACTTTACTTTGTCTTCTTGAGCTGCCCTTTGAAATCTTCTATTCAGTTCTTTTACTTCATCATTTCTTCCTTTTGCTTTAGCTCCTCGACTTTCAAGAGCAAGGTTCAGAGTTTCTTCTGACATCCATTTGTTTCTTTTCTTTCCTATCTTTTTAATGACCTCTTGCTTTCTTCATGTATGATGTCCTTAATAAAGACATTGAAATGAAAAACATCATGGCAGAGCAAATCTGTCAGTAATATCAAAGAAACAACAGACTGCAGTCTTACCTGTTATTCCAAGCTTGCAGTACTTCACAGAGACTTTGTTTCTTGGCAATGAGTGACTCAAAGATTGACTGCAGCTGCTGAGGGGTATCTACAGAGGAAGACATGAGCCTTGCTTGCATCTTCTCAATCCAGTTCTTGAACTCGCCTTCTTCCATCTAGAAACAATTTCAGTAATCTGAGACACCAGACAGGTCCCAGCCTCCCAAAAATCTTCTACTAAGTTAGCAGTTAATGTTGGATTTTCTATCAAAGAAATAAATTACCTCTTTTTGTGCAAAGATATCTTCCATTTTTTCCTCTCTAGTTTTGCTAAATGTATCAGTTTTCAAAGATGCAAGTCTTTCATCAACAGCAAGATATACCTGTGAAACTCTAGCAATAAAAACATATAAAACATTAAACATTTCAGAGAAGTTGGAATCCAATTATCTAATCTCACATAAATAGAAAAAAGACACTACACAAAAAACTACAACTATGTTTAAGAATCAAATATAATTTTGTAGAACAAGAAAAATCCTGAACAGATGTACACCAAAATTTGAACAGTTTTTATGTCTGAGAGAGTCTTCCTTCTCTTTTCAGTACTTTTCTGAACTCTCTACATTTTCTTTTTTACAGCAAGCATATATAATATTATACAATTATAAAAATAAAATATTCACATTTTTAAAGAAACTTATACTAAATTTAAGTTTTTTAATTTCTAATTAAAATGAACAAATTTAATACTTTAAAATAGCTGTAGATTATAGACAGTATTAAAAAAAGATGGTCAAAGAAACTAAAACATGTACTTACTTTTGAAAGAAGTCCTTCAGATCCTGAAGAAGAGACACTTTCAAGGGGGCCTGACGTTTAATGACTATTTTGGGGAGTGGAACACATACTTCAAGAAGCCGAATGGGAGAGTAACTGAGAGAAGAAAATACAAATAATAGCAGAAAAATGAAAAATACTTCAATACTTGGAGTAGATATTTATCACGACAGTGAACTAAGTCCTATGAGCATTAGACAAAATCAAGTTTCTATAAAATGGCATTTTAAAACAATCATAAAGACTCTGAAGACAACTTTCAGCCATTATAAATGTCCTCCCCAATTAAGCAGGGATTTTTGTTTTATTTTTTACTGCACTGAGGTACCCTCGTTTGCCCCCCAAGGCTATCCTCATCTGCTATATAAACAAAAATCACTTCAAATAAACTTTCTTTATCATGAATGAGGAGAGAGACGCTTTCCTACAATTAGCTTAGACATAGGTATTCATTACTTTCCCAGCTCCTGAGGATTCCTCATGAGTCTTTATTTCCATTTCACAGTAGGGTTTATGTTTGTCTAGTAAATGCTATCCCCCACCTCTGCCCTAGGTTCATGGTTAAAAGCTCTTGCTTAAAAAGGGAAATAAGCTCTAATTATAATTAGCATATATTTCCTAAGTGCCTACTATGTGTCAGTTAGGATTTAGGTGCTGGATGTACAGCACTAAACAAGGGCCAAAATTCCTGCCCTCGTGATTCAGGAATAACATGATTCAGGTAATAAAACAAAGTATATATTTTATCAAATGGTAAGTGCTCTGGAGAAAAATAAAGCAGGAAAGGGCATCAAGGAGTGCTGGGGCAACGGGGCGTCAGGGAAGGTAAAATCTGAACAAAGACCACAGGAAAATAAGGAAACAGCAAGCAGGTAAGTGAGGAAAGAGCAGAGCAGGAAGAATAAGCAAAAAGCTCCAAGGCGGGAGCCTACCTGACGTATGCGGCCCAGCCAGGCAGCAAGGCTGCAGCAAAGTGAGTGAGGGGAGAGTAGGAGGAGGTGAGAACAGAGAGGTACTGGGCAGCCAGAGCATGCAGGAAATGATGGGCCAGTAAATGGACTCTGCTTTCACTCAGGGTAAAAAAGACACTTAGAGGAGTGACCCGATCTGATTCTCATGTAACAGGATGATCACTCTGCTGTGTTGACAACAGGCTGCAGGGAGCAAGGACAGAGGCAGACTGGTTGGGGTTACTGCACTGATCTAGGTGAAAGATAAGGGAGGCTCAGTCCAGAGCAGTAGTGTGGAGGTGGTGAGAAGTGCTCAGATTCTGGGTAGATTTTGAAGGCAGAGTCTAAAAGCTTTCTCAAATCATTTAATATCACAATGGTAAATACCTATTTTTCAACTTGCCATTTTAGCCCTGTCCAGAATATTCAATTATCCTTATGCTAGTTAATATCATAGCAAAAATTCTGACAGACTCTCACATGCATAAACAATAGCTAAGAGTGAGGACCGTGGTAGCAGATCAACCAGGTTTCAAATCACGACTCCATCACCTGCTAGCTGGATAAGTCAGGATAATAATAATGCCTATTTCTTAGGACTGTGGTAAGGATTTAACAAAAATAACACACTGAAAGAGTCTGGCCCTCTGCACTTGCAGGGGTGTGAAGGGGGAACAACATACCCACAGATTACTTCAGTCTAGTACAGTGGAAATGTGACAAAGCCTTCAAGGAGGTATGGGACCGCTTACAAGGTCCCTTTGACTTCTTACCTGAAAGATGCCACCATCTGGTTATAAGAGAAATACTGGTGATAATCATGGTGGATGGAGTGACCACATGGCTCAGCATTGGCTCTACGAGTATACTGGTGCCCATAAAACCTAAGCTCAAGGTATTTTGCAAATGACATGGACCATGACTCATTGGAAAGAGCAACAACTGGTGTTACCTGAAATTCAGAATAAATAATTCATGTCATCTAAACACATTTTGAGGAACACTTTTTAAAAAATAATGTATTTTCTAATATAAATCTAGTGTTTTCTGACTGCAAAAATCTGTAGAAAGAAAGAAAAGTTCAAAAGTAGGTGGAGTTGGGGGTGGCCAGGCAGAGCAGTATCACCAGTCCTACCACCAACATCAGTATGCTAGTGTATGTTTACTTTCATTCTACATATGAATACATACATGCATAGCCAGAGTTATCTGTAAATAAAAACCCTTTCCTGTAATTAGTTTCACAGTCTTTCATTTTTTTTACTTAGCAATGTATTGTGAATATTTTCACATGTAAAATACTCTTGCACAACTGGATTTTAAATGGCCAAAGAATATCTCATTATATGGACACACAATGTACTCATATTAGTGCATCTGTCAATCTACAGAAGTTTACATATTCTACAACAAGATAGTACCAGCCGTCTAACAGAAACTAAAGGCCTATAACAACAACTATAAAAAGTAAGACTGATAATTAAGAAATAATTTCATGCCTGCATGTTTGATGTTGCAGAAGAAAATAACTTTGATTTTGGTCCCTTCAATCACTAGTAAATTCATACAGGTCACACTGTTATTTTATCTATATAATTCCCACATGTGCCTTCCAAAAGCACATAAAAAAACTGCAAAATAAGCCAGTTATGATAACAATGAAGTTAAATTTGGCACGTACTCACTGCACACAATTTAGATATTAAAGTATACATTTAACAAGCATAATATTGGTGCCAAAAATTTGTGCCAGACTTGGAAAAGTAAAGAGAGACACACAGAAGAAATACAACACATGATCTTTTTCTCAAGAATGTACATGAAAACCAGTACAGTAGCAACATACTCTCATCTGTATCTCTTAAGACAGAAACACTGATATGGGCTCAAATTTATTATGCAAACATTACTGCTTTGTAAGTCTGTCTCCTTCCCTAGAGGTCAAAAGCCTTATCTTATTCTTTTTTTATTCTTAGGGCCTAACACAGTATCTTGCACATAGATGTTACTCAATAAATGTTTGCTGAATGAATAAACATAATTGAGAACTGTCAAGATACGATCTCAAGATAGTGAGATCCTGTATTTTATTTAACGACGGATATACTCCAAAAGCGGAATCTTTAAAAACATTAAATTGAACATACAGTGCTGGAATGGAAAATAAAGTTAATAATAACTCAATGACAAATAAGTCCAAAATAATATAGACCACCCTCCTCAAAAAACGAACTATACAAATAAAGAAATACGTGATATTATATGAAATACTATAGTAATAGGGTGCATTTACCTGTTTGCAGACTCTGCACCAGGAGTATGTGAGAACTGTATGTTGATATCCAGGTACTGGAGAATCCAATTCCTTCAGGATTATCTGCACACAGCCTTGGCCATGGACAAAACGCCGAATATGATGCACCATGGGGGTGTCACAGAACATGCTAGGACACTGATAAGAAGGCCTTTGACAAACAAGAAAGTCCTTTTCACATTAACCATGAGAAAGAAGCAACATGTAATGAGTACTAGCTAATCAGAGCCACTATCAAAAAAGCACAGCACCTCTCCGGAGTAACAAATATCAGCGGATAATCTGATCATTAGACAACCACTCAGGCCGCTCTGTGTCTGCAGTTGAACACCTTGTCTTAAACTATAGCAGCGCGATAGTTTCCATTTGTTAGACACCTTCTTATGGCTTTATGTTACACCAAGCGTTTTTAAAATACCATCTCGTTTAACACGTTAAAACTTATGACATCTCTGGAGATTGTTATCCCCAACAAACCGTGCTGGTAAAGATTAAATCACTTGCTCTTTGTCATAAAAATCGTAAGTAACAGTGCTAAGACTTAAACCAAGGTCTAGCTGAGTCTAACACTTCTCCTGCCTCTCACTTGAATCACCATTAAAACAGACTTCATAGAAAAGTCTTAGGGATGGCAGGGTAATTAGATGAGCAAAGATTTGAGGAATGTACTGAATAAGACATCCTGGTTTGAATATGATGTAAATTATTCATTTTTTATGATTTACTCTGATCTGTAATGTGAAAGAGAAGACCACACAACAATACATGACATCCAACTCATGGAACAAAAGAGGAAAACTTATTCTTACCTGAAACAGTATCTCTCTAAAAATATTCCTAATGTAAGATCATTCTTTCCATAAAATTCCATTGTTACAATCCTAAACAAAGAAATCATTTCTTAGAAAGATAGCATAAGAATTACCAGACAGCAAAGATTTTCATGAGACCACAAATTCTGGTTACCTATTAAATATGTTTATAATATAACATTAAAGCAGGTAATATTGTTGTTCTAGAATAAGTTTTACACCTCATCTGGTAAACCAGGTTTGGACTAGCCAAACTATACATCTTACCCAACTCCCAGTCCATTACTGTCTTATGAAACTATTTAATTGGATGCATAAACTATAATTTTAATTGACTAAAACTGATTTGAGTTAGGAAGATGTGAAAGTTTCCTTTACAAAGCCTTAAGCTTCGTCAACATGAAATGGGACTCCTGTCCCCTGCTCTCTAGCTCACACCTTTCCTGAACATGAAGAACAGCAGCTCATATTCTTGCAGAAGAGCCAATTCCTAACTTTATACCTAATTCATAAATGCCTACAAATAAGAGAATTAAACAATACCCCTGTTGACACCTACACCTTATTCAAGCTTTGATCTAAAAGAAGTTCATAAACTCCCAGAGAAAATTCCTGTGGGCTCTTCTAACTCCAAGTCCACCTACAGGAGCTACCTATACCACTTCTGGAGGAATCCCTGATCTCACTGCTGGAAGTGTTTCTGGTCCCAAAATTGAAACATGGAACACACTTTGTCATAGAAACAGTACTCCAAAAAAGTGGTTATGTTTCACAGTACTTTTAAAAGTAAAAGTAAGCTTGTTGCCGTCAAGTCGATTCTGACTCATAGCAACCCTATAGGATTTCCAAGGCTGCAAATCTTTACAGAAGCAGACTGCCACATCTTTCTCCTACAGAGTGGCTAGTGGGTTCAAACCACTGACGTTTCAGGTAGCAGCTGAGTGCTTTAACCACTGCACCACCATGGCTCCAAGTAAAGGTAAACTACCTAATAGGCTTTTGTGATTATCATTTGAAACAAATAATTACAACACTATAAAATGTGTTCCAATTTGTATCAGTCTACCTAGAATTTAGTTTTAGAATAAACCCATTAGTAAGGCACAAGGCTGACTGCTTTTATGAAAAATGATGCCTGAAGAAAAACCTGTCTAAATTACATATATATTATCAAAATGCTTACAAATTAGCTTTTATGTTTAAAATTATAAATTTCTCTCATCCGTCACATGCTTTTCAATCTTAGGACACTCTCAATTACTTCTATCCACGAATATACCCACAAATTTCATATTTAATTCACAAGTTTAAAATTTCTACAAATTCATATATGATCAGCAGAGTGCCATGTACCTAAAAATAGACCCTACTGGTTGGTTGTTTTTTTTAAAAAAGCTGCTGGAACCCTGTTCCTAAGTAAAGCACAACAGCGTAGAGAACCAGAGTCCTACCAAGGACTGACGCAGGCACTGGGGGCATTGCTGGACTGGGCAGAAGAGCTGCTGAACAGCACGCACAGTCTCTGGTGGTTGCCAGGGTTCAGACAGTCTACCTGGAAGAGAAGGAACCGCTCAGCGACAGTCGTAACACACTCGACCCCACGACGCATACTTCCAACACAATCTCTTCTAGTTTTGAGGCCTCCTAGCATCACTGTAGGGGTTCTGGTGAAGGTTTAAAACAATAAGAAACTAAACATGAGGACGAGTAGCTGTTTGTGATGTAAGAATATCCAAAAAGTTTAAGTTAAACTTAAAAACACAAACAGATCTTTAAATAGCTCAGTTTTTTAACTTACTTTTTACTTTTTATAAAACTGTACTAAATTATTTTGAAAGTGAGTAGTTAACTAAATGTATCCATATAAAACAGTCTGAGCTGATGGCTGGATATAACATCAATCTGGAACACCCAGAAGCTTAAATTCTAAGGTATTTGTATGTTTGTACTTTAATACTTGTTTTTGAAAATTACAAAGGTAACACCTACTCTCTGCTAAAATTCCAACAGTACAGAGGTACATGAAGAAGTACACAAAGTATATAAAGCCTCTCCTTTCATGCCATTCCCTCCTCACTCTTGAGGGACTAATTTAATAGTATGGTTAAAAACCATCCATTCTTTTTGCTAGCTGAATTCACACACACACAAGTAAACACAGGTGACTGTGTTTTTATTAAAATGGGATGATGCTACATACATATATTAAAACATAACTTATTTTTGTACACTAAAAAATATACTGCAGCCTCTATCCAGGTCATTAAATGAGACCAAAGTTATCCTTTTTATTGAAAACAATGTTCCAGTAAACATCCTTGTACATTTATTCCTATAAAATGTGAGCATCCTGGTACAAATGAACTTACTTATTTTTGTAGAAATAGATTATAAAAGGGAGGAATGCTGGGTCAAAGGTATGTCTATGTATATGTAAATTAACAGACTTCCCAATCACTTTCCATAAATTTATATAAATGCATATAAACATAAATATATCTGTACATAAAATTCATGGTAGTATTTTTCCACATCCTCATTAATTTCTGTCAACTTCACAAATAGAAAACTGTGTGCCGTTATTATTTATCACATTATTATTCAGCACCCTGACTACCAGTGAAATTGAGCATTTTTTTATCAAACATTTACATTTTCTCATCTAGACATGGGTTTATTCTTTAGTTTTATTATTATCATTATCAATAATGCATGCAGCCTCAATTTCTGTTTAAAAAGAAAAAAAAAAGGGCCAAGTATCACTGTCACTTTAAAGGCCAATATAAAGTGTTTTTTTAAAAAAATAAAGAAATCTAACATTAAACATGGAGCCCTGGTGGCGTAGTGATTAAGAGCTTGGCCGTTAACCAAAAGGTCAGCAGCTCGAATCCACCAGCTGCCCCTTGGAAACCCTATGGGGCAGTTCTACTCTGTTCTATAGGGTCACTATGAGTCAGAATCGACTCCACAGCAATGGGTTTTAACATTAAACATACACACAGGACGAATGGACACGGGAACTTGGGGCGGAAAGAGAAAGGGTTGGAGAGTGCTGACACACTGCAGGGATTGCAACCGTCACAAAACAATCTGTGTAAAAATTTTTGAATAAGAACTAATTTGTGCTGTAAACTTTCACCTAATCATAATAAAATAAGCAAAAAAAATCCTCAAAAAAAAATTGTGACCCACACAACTCACTGACTATACAGGAATAATATTTACATTTAAATAAATTTTAATATTAAAGCAAAAAAAAACCACACACCCACCCACACACACACACGTTTCCTACAATAAGCTTCTATCTTTCTCTCTCCATCACTACTATTATAGGTCATCATCCTGCCGGAAGGTTTAAGGGCCTCCACACCTCCCCCTACCTCAGAGCTCTTCCTAGTTTACTGTTAGCTCAGCCTGAAACCCCCAAACCCCAACCTCAATACGTGATAGTCCTATTTCGTATCTATTAAAGCAACATACAAACAGGCAAACTCAAGACAAAGAAAAGCACAGAACTATTTCATCAATCTGCATGCGATTTGTCATATTTTTTTACTCTGACTTAGTAGTTTTCTCAGCACGTCCTAAATTTACACGAACACTCAAAGTAGCCTAGCTCACCTTCGTCGACCACAATGCATCACTCGGAACCAACCCTTTCTCTTCGTCACTCTCAGCTCTGCTTCCTGATTTGCTACCAGAAGTGCCTGATGCATCCTTTGAATGAGCAAAAGGATCTAAATTTTTTTGCTGAATTCTTCCTCCTCTTGCCCGAAAATCAGCCAGCATTCTACCCAAGCTCTGGCTATCACCCAGATGCTCGGCAATTCTAGTGCTCACTAGCTCATGCGAGGGCAGGACTTGAATAGACTTGGCCTGAATACTTCCATTCATGCCCTGAAGTCCAGTGAGATCCCTAAGCAGCTGCTTCTTTCTCCTGCTCTCCATTTCTTTGAACTCCTTATTGAGGAGAGGAGACCAGTAAACCTGCTCTGCAAAATAATCTCGGGTAGAGCACTTCATCCCCTTTTCAGTTAAAAGGAAAGGCTCCCGGAATGTGATTACTGGAGACATACACAGGATTACATCTTTTAATTCTTGCTTGAAAGCCAAAGAATAAGTCTTTCGTTTATCTTCAGAGGAAGTAACTTCCATTGCAACATACAATCCTGTGTCATCCTGTAGAGGGTCTCTGAAGGCTCTCATCTGGCTTTTGGGATCATGCAGTTCATCTGTTTGCTGCAAAGTCTCTGGTTGCTCACTGCCTATGACATCCTGTTGGTCATCCATGTGCAGTGGCAGCAATGATTCTGGTAATGATGGAAAGAGAGCACAGGGGATCCCAGACACACAAGCCGTTGCTGCACACTCTTGATGCTTCAAAGAGACAACATCCTGCAGAACACTTTTATTTTCCTGGTCACCCTTCTCAAACACAATCCTTGATTCCAACGAACTGCCATCATCAGAGGGCAGAGCCTCTGATATCATGATCGGCCTGTCAGGAGGGAAGTCAGGGTCCCGGGGGAGGGTACTTCCACTGAACTGCTCTTGTGCAGCCCCTTCCTCCCCGCATCCCTCAATCAGAGAATGGAAGGAAGAGTTTTGAGTTAATGTGGGTGGCATAGCAAATTCATCCATAAGGAAGGAGATTTCTAGTTGAGAATGATAAGCTACGCAGATCATAAAAATTAGGATCTCCTTAACTCGGGCCAGCTCATAATCAGAGCCTCCTCTAAGCTTGACTGTGCAGCCTAGGTGCTGTGGACAGCCTTCAAAAAACATCAGCGTTTTGGTTTGTTCTAAAAATAAGCAAACAAAAAGTTAATAATGCATAGGTGGCAATACAGAAGTCCAGACAGAATTAATTCACCATGCTAACATCTACAGGAGAAAAAAAGAAAGAATTTACATGATTAAGACCACAGCTGCCTATTCTCATTTACACTGCTAACAGACATTTCCTTCCAGGTGAACACTGTAGTACTGAAGCGTTAACTCACTGACTGACATCCCCAATTCCAGGTGAATCTTTGCTAAAGATTACTCACCATTAGACAGCTGGAACATCTGCATATAAAATTTGTGACAGGTGCCCAGGCGTGGTTTTGTAAGCAGCTGGTCCATTGACATTACTAAATCACCTTGAGTCATCCGACTGATTCGATCTAAAACTTGCTACAACACAGAAAAACATTTTATCATAAAATTAGAGAAGAGTGAAAATCTCAGTAAATTTAATGGGGAAAAAAATGGGAATATTTAAAAGTAATCCTCACAATGAATTTCCTTCATTTGAATAATTATATGATGAATTTTTTAATGTAGCTTAGATCTATGCTTAGTTGCTTATTAATCAGTGAGTCCACTAAAACAAGCCATACTCCTATTAATAACATCACTAAAGGCATTTAAGCATTATGCACTGGCGCAAATACTGGGGAGGTGGGAGAGGAGGAAATAGGGACAAAAAAACAAACAAAAAAAACCTTCCTAGAATTGGCCTCCTTTGAGATCTTTTAATGTCTCTGGAGGGTAAATTTTTCAAGGCAGAGAACATTTTGTGCTTGGACAATTCCCCAAACAAAATGAAAGATCAACAAATATTACTAATTAGCTAATGTTATTACACCTTTGGAGACTATATAATGAGTGTAATCTACCCAATCACAGCCTGAGACTCTCTAGTCTTAAACAGTGAAAGAGCTACTACTGCCTTCTGTCCCACTTTCAATACACAGGATCAGCAAAAAAAGAAAATAGATAATCAAAGATCCCTGTATATCTACCACATGCACATAAATTGAAAAGCTATGTTTTTAAAAAAATGATACACAAAAATAGGAGCACTCACTGATTTTACATTAATGACCAAAGTAATGCCATGTTCCAGCAACATGTCCTGGGCTATCCGAGACACCGTTTTCTCAACTAGAACCAATGTGGGTCGCACATCAACTATTCGCTGAACGTAATTCTTCAAGAATTCCCTTTCCTAAGTAAGATAAATCAGAATTATACCGGGGTCAGTTCAAGATCCATTCACATTAAATTACAGGGATAGTTTGACTATTAATATCAATCTCAGCCTAAATTAGATTCCTCCACGTGTAATTCTATAAGCAAATTAATCCAAACACAACCGAGAAACTCATTCATCATTCTGAACTGTGTTGATTACCCTGAAAAGAGTTTCAGGAGAGACTCCATTCTCTGACTCACTAATATTACTCTGAAGGATTTTCAATTCTTAATTACCTATAATATAAAAGCCAAGAATTCAATTAGCTAGCTCTCACAGGTTAAAACACACAAACACACACACACACCCTCACAATCCCCCCAAATGAAAGCAATTTCTAGATGCTTTTAATATGGTTATGGATTCCCCTTTTACATTCTGAAACTAACCAGAGTATCTCTTCCTTGGGGTAGCTGAACAAGTAAGTCTCTAAAAAATGCTATTTCAGCTACTTACTATTCCAATCTCCCAAAAGATTACATTCTACCTAGAACAACTATAGTTAAAAATCTAAAACACAATGCTTAATACAATTTCATGACAAAGGCTAAATTTCAAAGCAAATGAATAATGTAAATAACAACCAGAGCTAAAACAATACAATTCATTGTTTCAATAAATTTTCGGGTTTCGGACAAGAGACAAATGAAGGCGAGCATGTTTGTCACTCCAGCTCCATATGTCTACAGCGTTTTCTCAACAAGATTTTATTAACATTCACTGACACCAGCAATAGATGAGTCTATTCCTACAATGAGCCTGCCCTGTCATGGAGTATTATTTCTTCTTGACTTTCTCTGTTTTACTGATAGAAACTGTACCCATATTTTGAAATTCTCTCATTATTAACAAAATAGAATTTTTTTCATGAAATTTGTTAATTTCCTACTCTGCTTATTAAATTGTAATTTAACAGTGTTTAAGATAATTTTACTTGTGCACCTTCAGTAAAGTGTAACTATAATACATCCTTTTTTTTTTTTTTTTTAAGTTTCTCATCTCTGATATGAGGATGGCAAATAAATTTCCTCTCTCAGGTCCAACTCTAATCAACTCTTATGACTGGATGCAAAGCACCGTGTCAAATACCATGCTGGAATGAGTCGGACTAATTAAGAACTTACAAGCATAATAGTAAACAAACATTCCTCCAAATTCTATGTGTTTCAGTAATAAGTTCTTACCTGAAGCACAATAGGATCTATGCAAGTAAACTTGGTTTCTTCTCTGTAAAGATACTCAATGGAACACTTCAACAGAAGAATTTTGGGATTTTTAATACAAGAATTCATCTACAAAAAATGAATAGCTTAGTTTTAAAAGGTTTGCAATTAACAGACCTCCTCTAGTCATAACTTTAAACTTATACTGATCATAGTTCCTCTTCACTTGAGCTATCTCACTAAATTAGTATTAAAATACTCTCATCTAGCCCTTTCATGGTATTCTCTTATAGTTTTTTCAAAGCAAATATAGCCCAGAACAAATGCAAAATTCTTCAAAAATTGGCTGTTTCACTAATGCTAGTTTAATCTATTCCACCATGCTCTTGTTTTTGTTTTCCTAACATTGAAGAAGAGATATCATGCCCTTAGTGTAGGGGGCCTAAAGATAGGCTATGTCACAAACCCTAAGAGATCAACAGCTTCGAAAACATATTCAGTCTTTCTAAAATTCAAGGGGGTTGATGCAGGAGAAGAGAATTAAAACGTCTCCTGAAAATATTTCTAAAAAATTTCTAAGTGGGCATAGGTTGGCAACCAGATTTGGGTAACAAAAAGTTCAAAAGAAAAACCTCAACATATCTCCGGAAGCAGAGATTCAAACAATGTACCCTAGCCCTGGGACTAAGGCCACAGGCAGAAAAGCCTGAACCCCACAAGCAAAAACGAATGGGCTCTTTCACATCAAGGTTTCAGACTGGCCAAGTTTATAGGCGCAAACTGGCAACCGGTTCTGACAACAAAGTGACTCCCCAGCTGGGGAACCACATTCAGGGCACTCTGAGCAACTACAAATTAAAGACTCTCTAAATCTCTAAATATGGGCAGTGGGGCAAGACAGTCATTCATCCATGTTTCTACCACACCCACGTACGATTTTCTTCAATTCCAGGAAAGAGCACAATGTCTTTTATCTTTAAGTCAACAGAGATCATTCAATTTTAAAGCAGTACTTTAAAGTACTGCTTTAAAGGGTAATGTGTTATTTTAGTAAGACTCTACGTAGAAATACTGACTGACTTTGGATCATTAATATGAATAATATCAGATCTAAGCATACTTTTATTTACCTATGGTCACTAATTATTTTCAGGAGGTTTACTGCTTTACTAAGTTTGGAGCCACTGGGTGGCGCAAATGGTTAAGCACTGGACTACTAACTGAAAGACTGGTGGTTCAAACCCACCCAGAGGCACCTTAGAAGTAAGGCCTGGTGATCTGCTTCTGATAGGTTACAGTCTTGAAAACTCTATGGAGCAGTTCTATTCCGCACACACAAGGTCGCCATGAGTCATAACAGACTCGATGGCAACTAACAAGAACTATAATTTACTAGACTCTGCTTAGAGAAGAGCAAAAACAGTACAGTTTATCCACCCTGTTTCTCAGGCTAGAAATCTGCCTTAGCTCTCCCCCTAACCAAATCAGTATCTCTAGAGGTGGGGCCAAGGTATCTCTATTTTTAACAAGTTCCCTTGGTTATTCTGAAGCACAGCAAAGTTTGAAAACACTGCCTCCCTCACCATACCCACACACCCACACACCCACATCCCCTTAAACCACTGAATGAGAAGTTCTAGGGGTTGGGCTTAGGAATCTACATTTTTAACAAGGTTCACAGCTAATGCCGATGTACACTACACTTTCAGGATCAGACCCTCAGCGGGCTACACTGCCCTTGCCTACATTCTCCAGCCTTATCTCTTGCCATTTCCCACCTTGCGTTTTAAGATTTCAGAGTTCCTCTAATACACCAGATTTTTCACCCCCCTTCTTTGTGCCAGTTCTAGAAAGAGGCCTCACGGTTGATGGCACAGTGAGGAAGTAAGAAGGGTAACAGAATACCAGTGATAATTCTGCAGCTCAGCCCTAGAAGACAAGAACAGAGTTTAAAAATTCCAAGCCTCTGGAAGGACTGCAGCCTGCTGGGAAGACCTTGTCTCCCTGAGATGTGGCAGGGTCACCGGAGGAATGATACCAGTACTCTATCATTCTGTTTGCCTTACCTTGCCTTCCTCCTCCTGCCTAATGAATTCCCATTTACTAATTTCAATCCATTCATCATTTGCTCTGGGAGACCTTCCCTTAACCTCCAAAACAGAGTTAAAGATTTCACTCCTACAGCAGGCACTGACAGTTGTCTCTCAATGTCCATTCTCCTTTTCTTCCATGATTAGCATACCCCGGCTTTTTAGCTGGGCACGACACCACCCAGACTAGAGATCATATTTCCCAGGCTCCCTAGAAGTTACATGTTACCATGTGACTGAATTCTGGATGCGATATAGACAGAGTGTGTGTGGCAGCTTCCAGGATCCTGTCTTAAAAGATGGAACATGAACGCTTTTGCCTCTTTTTTCTTGTCTCCTCTTCTATCCTGCTGTCTGGGATGTGGATGCATTATCTTGGTCCTTGAGGTCAAGGCCATACAAGAAGGATCAAAGAGAGAATAAGAATGTGGATCTCAGACACCAAGAAGTGCCATACCAGCCCTGCACTGCCTACGTTTATATCAAAGAGAAATCAACTCCTATCTCTGTTAAGCCACTGTTACTACAGTTTTCCTGTCATTCACAGTTGAACCAAATCCTGACAATATACCTCTTCTGCATTATGAGGATACAATGCTAAGATGCCATTAATTAAGACACATCCCAATTTCAGAGCTATTAAAATGAGGGGGAGAAATACAGCATTTCTGTTATTGCACAAATCATCTGTAATACAATTTTACATGCTTGTCTCCCCTACTAGACCAAACCACACCAAACCCATTGCCGTCGAGTCAATTTCGACTCACAGCAACCCTACAGGATGCTACAGAACTGTCCCATAGGGTTTCCAAGGCTGTAATCTTTATGGAATTTGATTGCCACATCTTTCTTCCATAGAGCAGCTGGTGGGTTCTAACCACCGACCTTTCGGTTAGCAGCTGAGCACTTAACCTCTGTGCCACCAGGGATCCTTCCCTACTAGACCATGACCTTCTTAATGGCAGGGATCATGTCTTATTTTCCTTTGTATCCATGGATCTGACACATAGAGATGTTCAGTAAAGGTTTCTAAGAGTCACTGTTGAATTAAATATTACCTTTTTATGTGCAATGTTCTTGGTACAAACAAAGCCACTGACAACCACAGAATCAAACTTCTTTCCACCTGGGATCTAATGGAGCAATTAGGAAAACGATTAAAATTCAGTGATACACCCCTAGATTCCAGTCCGGATGCTGTTATTTTTTCCACTTTAAATTTTAACTATTGTGTGATCAAATATGGACAAAAAATTCCAGGATACTTCTTCAATCAATGATTAATAGCATTTCAGCATGACTGTCTACTTTCCCACCCCCAACTCTCTCTCTTATGCAGTCTCTGGTACTCTACAATACCCATTTAACCAAATTAAAACCACTATTGTTTAAATCAAATATCCTGGTCCAAAAATACATACACAATTCCATTACTTCTTAAATAAAGGCAAGTACCCACTGCTTTTCCTCAAAACAGTGACAGTAATCTGTGGGAACAGGCTTCTTACAGCTGACGTTATCAAAAAGAGGAAGAAATATATTTTTTTGGGTTTCCAACTCATCCCCCACCCAACTCATCTGTTCCATTCACTTTTCACTTCCTATGAGCAGATTCCATGACCCCTAAGTACACTGCTAACAAACAGAGCAGACAGCAAGAGCTGCCACCCCTCACCTAGCATTCCTCACTCTTTTTAGATTATCATTAAGAGACAAATTACTGCCAGGCCCACCTCATCAGCTCCCAGCATTAGGAAAACACTAACAGAGCTCACTTTTTTGACGTGGACAAACTGACGGATATCCATGTCATCATCCCGGTTCTTGACATCAGGTCGGACTGTCTGAACAACCTGGCAGACCAGTGGCACAATGATGTCCCTCCAGGATGGTGATAATGACTCATTATGGAGCAACTGTTGGAGCAGTGCCATCAAGTGGTTATGATTAGCTGAACTACAAAAATGTTACAGGAGAGAAGTTTGCATAGTTAATACCACCAGAAACAATAATTCTGAAGATGCAACAAGTAGTCTACAAAGAAAAAAACATATGAATTATGGTTCACAGATAAGATCTTCAAGGTCAATTTTACTTTCAGTTTATCTATACCTTAATGATTTTGCACATAAATGAAATCTGTGAATATCTGTAATCAGGATGTCCCCTTTAATTAGCTGAAATGAAATTTTGGCACATTATAATAGGGACAGCCAAGCACAATTTGGGACTCTTGTTTTATAAGAAATTTCATCAGAAAAGGCTTTATGTCCTAGGAAATTTAAGTATTTTTAACTTTGAGGAAGAGGAAACATGCATATGCCTATCAAGTCACTAAAGAGTATATAAATGGAAAATTAAATTAAAAAGCTCACTGCCTTACAGCAATCTCTCCATTGCTTGTTTCTCTCCATTCTCTTCCCTCAGGAGCTCCAGGTTGTTATGATGCCAGCCCAAAGGTGTGAAAGGAAGCTCTTTGGATTTTTCCTCTACCCGACGATTAAATAATGATTCTAAGTAAAGAGTGAAATAAGTTATTACTTCACTGTCATGTTTTATACCACCTACTCCTATTTTTAGAAATTATCAGTTTCTCTTTTAATTTTTTTAAGTTGACCAAATCCACTGCCAACTTGATTATAAATATACAGGTAAAAAAATACATATAAGAATTAAGTAACTAGATTACCAGTAACTGGCAAGACCCAAATCAGAGACAGAACGGTGAAAAGCAGGTTCACATAAGGAACTAGAACTCTTAAGCCAATAATTACAAATATACCTTCTGAAAAGCAAATAAAAATAGATTTTTATGCTGTTCTTTTATTTATTTGGGGATGTTTAAAAGGAGGGGGTAAATTTTCCCTATAAAATTACAAACTGAAACCTGCATTCAACAGAAATCTGAATGCTGCCACAACAACATGTGACAGAGTGAGTGCTGAACTTTAAAAAGAGGAGCTCACTCAAATATGTTTGGAAAAGTAGGTGACAGTGTGAAAAGTCTACTCAGACAATCCTTAACAGGGTTTCTTTTTCAACATGCGAACAAAGGCCTTAAAAAAAAAAGAAAAGTTTAACAAGATAGACACAAAAGAAAATACGAGATAGTAAACATGATAAATAGCAATTAATTTCACCACAGGATAAAATCCTTAAAAGACTGAAAAATAGATCAAGACCAAAAAACATTAGTAGTTAAAACTTTTGTTTTGCACAAAGGATGATCATTAAAATAATTGTTGAAAAACGGAAAGAGGGAGGAAACACAAAAATTCTTCAACCTCCCCCTCTTAAAATAAAACCAAACAAAAAAAACTTTCAACCAAAGAGTCCAGCATGCTACTCAGTACAGTATGTATCCATACGTCTGAGGTACAAGAACTGCACATTTCAACTACATAAACTGCAGCCTATAAACTTCAAGTTGGACCACATGCTTGGTGGTGAATTTAAAAGCACTGCCAAATTATGAGGTCAGCCACAAGCGGCCTCCCTTGTACCAGTTTGCTCTACCTTCACTCTTTTATTTGAAACGCTCAGAGCCAAGAAAACACGTTGAGAAGGGGACTTTTCTCCCATTATCTGAAGCCTAAGCTGTGGACTATTCTGGACCAATTAAGTGACTACACAGTCTACTCCACAGTAAGCTAAGAAAGGAAGAGTAAGAAAGGCTTTTATTCTTCTACACTCCTTTTGCCGCTGCCCAAGAAACTGATCAGCAAAGTCAGTTCTTACCCTCTTCTATTTCTCTCCGCAACTCTACAGAGCGAACAGCATCCTCAACTGGATAAGATCTGCTTATGGGCTTTTTGACAAGTCTGACAATCCTTGATGCATTTATATATAAACACTTCATATTACATTCATGACACAGGAAAGTATAAAATGCCTTTAAAAGAACAAGTTTCAAACTCTATTTAAAACCTTTCTGAACAATTTTTCAAGTCAAAGACCTCCTTCTCCTAAAAGTCCAAGCTTATATTCTTGGTTCTCAATGTTCTCAAAATCCCTTCATATACTTAAAAACCATGTTCCCATAATACTAAAATAATCAAGTGTATTTTCAGCACCTACTCTATACCCCTCAATGTGCTAGGCCCTAATTATAGCCTCATAAACAAGAGACACCATCCAATGCTCGGCTTTTAGTAAAATTACCTTTGATGAAGGCATCACTTATCGAGAGCTGTTGTCCGCCATTGTCAGAAATCAAATACTCTGCATACCAAGGAGAGAGCAAAGAGAGGAGGAAGGAAAGGAGACATATGACAACATGCCCACTTATTATACAGAGAACACACCCACGCACAAAGAAAGTATTACTCATACTAAACCCATCATTGTCCGGCAAATCCCAGAAAGCTTCGGGCTAAAATGCCTCTTTATACTTCTTCTACACACTTCATACTAAACTTAAAAAGACCTGAATCAATAATTCAACAAAACCATGAAACAATTCACCTTAGTTAACATGTCAGATAACCTTTAACATATCATTTTTCCCTCTTCAAAACTCAACTGGTTTGTGAAAATTGAGACCTTCAGCAATTTACATGTAAAGCCTAAAAGGTTACATTATTTTTCATGTATAACTGCATTCTTCAACAAATAATGATTTCCTCTATACTCAAGGTAGTTCACAGATAGAGAAGTCACCTATAAAACAACACAAAGTGCTCTTTAATTTTAGAATATAAGCTATAAAACTAATACAAACATTACACTGGCAGGGAATAAAGATGTAACTTATCAGAATTTTTATTAATTTTAGAGTCCCAGTTTTTCAAAAATTCTAACCAAACATTACTAAATTATTGCCTTAAGAGAACTGCTAAACATACTCTGAATGCTTTTAGAACATTAAATATTCTTTTTGCAAGTGAAACTTATTCCTCCCCATAAGCTTTTCTCTAGGTCTGTGATCATGCATAGCTGAAATGGGGATCTTTCTACTATGCAAATTAAACCACAATCTATCTTATGTTCTTTAGAGTAAATGTTCTCAACAAAATTCTTTTCAAGTAAAGTTCATTTATAATCAAATAGATTTTAAAAATCAATACGTTCTCATGAGTAAATATGCTCATCCTTCAAATGAGGAAGCAGAGCAAGTATTTATTTAGAAAATTCAAGTATGCCATGACAAATAAAACCAAGTACGTGGGCAAGTAAAAATAGACGTTGAACTTTATTTCTGCTCCTTCCTCATAGAAATGAGTAATGCCAACCCCTATTCAATTAACATATTGTCCTTTACAGGCCTTATTTTTTATGCTGAAGCTTAAACATGTGTTTATATATATATGAAATAACAGAAGTGATGAATTTTCTCCAATATTTTATTACAAAAAAAATTTCAAACATATATAAAATCCTGTATACCCTCCACCTAGATTCAATAATTGTTAACATGCCATATCTGCTTTTTCTTTACATATATGTATGCTTTTTTTTTTCCTGAACTGTTTCAAGTTACACATGACACTTTAGTGTTATTACTTCAGCATACATCTCTTAATAAGGGCATCCTTCTCGATAGTCACAATACCATTAACACAAGTCAGAAAATTGACAATGTCAGTATAGTCTGTACTCTGATTTATCCAATTATTCCCAAAATATCTTTAATGTTATTTTTCTCAAACCTTGATCCAATATTGTTCATACACTACATCTGAGTGTGTTTCTTTGTTCTCTTTTAATCCAGAACAGTTCTCCACTTTTTTTTGTTTTTTCTTAACACTGAATTTTGAAAGAGCCCAAGCCAACTGTCCTGTGGAATGTCCCACATTCTGGATTTGATCAACTGTTTCCCCACAATGCTGTTTAACTTGCTCCTCTAGCGCGTATTTTCATACAGATGGGAAGTTAGATCTAGAGGCTTATGGAAACAATTTTCACTTTTTTCTCTAGTTTCTACTTACTAACTTTCCAAGAATGGTTCAGTATGTGCTTGCAATACATTATAAAATATATTTTAACTGTACAATATTCCAAGACCAATAGTGAAAAACTAATCCAAACATATCACAGTCTCAGTTTATAAGCTCCTGAAAATGAGGGTGTTGCTTACATAAGATTTAAAAAAATCTTTTTTAAAGTATAGATATTTCAACCAATTTTATAAAGCCAAATGCCCTCTGTCTGAAGAGAGATGATAATCCATAAGAAAAGAATAAGTATTTTACCTTCAATTTCAATGAAAAGGTAAAGACCACCCATTCACATATGTATTAGAGGGCAATGAAAATCAGAGGCAGGAAAATTCTATTATCAGTTCTTTCATTTTACTACCAGGTCACTCTAGCAATTTTTACTTTCTGTTAATCAGTGTTCATCTTAACTACAATGCAGAGGAAAACTATTTTCTCATATTTCAACTTCAAAGAAAAATGAAAAAGGAGTCATTCTTATTAGTATGTTAAAAACTGATGAGAAAATCATGAAGCCCAGTAACATTTACTAAAGGATTTACAAAGTTCTCAAATTATAGAATCTCAAGGTTACAATTGACTGAAGAGATCAACATAATAATTACCTTCTTTCCGATGCTGGAATTGCCTCTAAAACATTCTTAGTGAGTACGCTAAAAGATTCTTTACATTTATTACAATTTTTTTTTTTTTTTAATTCCAGACATAGATTTTTCATTTCACAGACTCAGAATTAAATTTGTTGTTACTGGGTGCCATTGAGTCAGCTCCGACTCACAGTGACCCTACGTACAACAGAACGGAACATTGCCTGGTCCTGCACCATCCTCACAATCGTTGCTATGCTTGAGCCCACTATTGCAGGCACTGTCAATCCATCTCAATGAAGGTCCTCCAATGTCCTTCTCCAGGGACTGGTCCCTCCTGATAACATGTCTGTCATGGTTTAAATTATGTCCCCCAAAAAAAGTGTGTATCAATTTGGCTGGGCCATGATTCCCAGAATTGTGTGGCTGGCCTCGATTTTGTGATTGTAATTTTATGTTAAAGAGGATTAGGGTGGGATTGTAACACCACCTTCACCCAGGTCACATCCCTGATCCAATGTAAAGGGAGTTTCCCTGGGGTGTGGTCTACACCACCTTTTATCTCTCAAGAAATAAAAGGAAAGGGAAGCAAGAAGAGAACTGGGGGACCTCATACCGTCAAGAAAGTAGTGCCAGGAGCAGAGCGCGTCCTTTGGACCAGGGTCCCTGCGCCGAGAAGCTCCTAGTCCGGGGAAACACTGATGAGAAGGCCGAGAGAGAGAAAGCCTTCCCCTGGAGCTGACACCCTGAATTTGGACATTTAGCCTACTTTATTGTAAGGAAATAAATTTCTCTTTGTTAAAGCCATCCACTTGTGGTATTTCTGTTGTAGCAGCACTGGATGACTAAGACAATGTCCAAAGTACGTGAGACGAAGTCTCACCATCCTTGCTTCTAAGGAGCATTCTGGCTGTAGTTCTTGTAAGACATGTTTGTTCATTCTTCTGGCAGTCCATGGTATATTCAATATTCTTCACCAAAACCATAATTCAAAGGTGTCAATTCTTCATTCTTCCTTACTTATTGTCCAGCTTTCACATGCACATGAGGCAACTGAAAATATCATAGCTGGGTCAGATGCACCTTAGTCCTCAAAGTGACGTTATTTGCTTTTTAACACTTTAAAGAGGTTTTTTGTTCTTTTTTTAAATTGTGCTTTAAGTGACAGTTTACAATTCAAGTCAGTCTCTCATACAAAATTTTATACATACATTGTTTTGTGACCTTACTTGCTCTCCCTATACTGCGACAGCACACTCTTCCCTTCTACCCCAGATTTCCTGTGTCCATTCAACCACCTCCTGACCCTCTCTGCCTTTTCATCTTGCCTCTGGACAGGAGCTGCCCATTTAGTCTCATGTACCTACTTGAGCTAAGAAGCACACTCTTCACAAGTATCATTTTATGTCCCACAGTCCAGTCTAATCTTTGAAAAGTTGGCCTCGGGAATGGTTTTAGTTTTGGGCTAACAGAGAGCCCGGGGGACACATCTTGCAGGGTCCCTCGAGTGTTTAAAGAGTTTTTTTGCAGCAGATTTGCCCAATGCAATATATCGTTTGATTTCTTGACTGCAGCTTCCATGGGCATTGATTATGGATCCAAGTAAAATGAAATCCTTGACAACTTCAATATTTTCTCCATTTATCATGATGTTGCTTACTTGTAACTCAGAAATCACCAAGTCTACCTAACCTCTCACCCAATGTAAGCATCTCTCCTCAATGACCCCAACAGGTGGACATTCAGATGCCACTTGGACACTTGCAGTGCACAGTGGCAAACACTACTCCTAACTACTGAACCTAGTTCTTCCTTCAGCCATTTACCAAAAAAAAGTAATTTTTAAATAGCACTAAAGCCCTTAGTCAGAGCCCTGGTGGTACAGTGGTTAAGAGCTCAGCTGCTAAGCAAAAGGTCGGCAGTTCGAATCCACAGCTGCTCCTGGGAAACCCTATGGGGCAGTTCTACTCTGTCCTACAGGGTTGCTATGAATCAGAATTGACTCAACGGCAACACGGTTTTTGTTTTTTTTTGGCCTACATAACACAAAAAACCAATCATTTTTCTTACAAGTGCTGCCCCCTTTCAGATTCATCTTCATAGGAAGGTTGTCTCTCACAACTTTTGCAGACAATCTTTTTAAAAGTCTCACAACTTCACAGACAATCTTTTTTCAAGTCTCAGATCAGAGAAGTCCCACAGGAATCATGATGGTTTTTCCAACTGCAGGTGTTTCTCCTTTAACTTTACTTGGAGTTACAATTTAAGGTTATACTATAAAAATATCATCCCTGAAGTCTCTTCTTCCATTCCTCTCCCAACATTATGAAATAAATGCTTGTGCTCAGCAGTCCACCCTTTGCTGTTATGAACTCTACAACGACAGGTCACTTTCTTCAAGATTTTCAAAATTTCCTTAACTGTACAAAAGGTAAAATCATCAGCAAGTCAAAACGTTATTTCACAGTCTGCTTTCAGCACAATGAAATTGCTGATGTCCAGAGAACAGATACCCTCCACGATGACATATCCTGCCTATGAGCCAAATTTGTAATTTATATTATGAAAGCATTATTCAGTACCCTCCATTTGACCACAATCGACAGTTCTAAGACAAATGTCACTTCAGGTATACTGTACTTTCATACTCACCCAAATGTTCTCCACCATTTTTCCAATTTTCATTTTGAGGATTCCCATAAAGATGTGTATCTCACTCATGTTCAATGTTAGCCAAGTCTTCTCCTTTCCCACAACCTCTTTAAATTTCTTATTTTTAAATAAAATATGCCTTTTTATTAGTCTAACTCAAATGCCATTGTAAGACAGCTTGATAATAGCTAATAGGGACACATAACAGAAATATGCTGTATGACTGTAAATTTATTTCAAATTATTTTAGTTACAGATGTTTAAGTTCAAAAGGGCAGCTTCTCTGTTCTGACCATATTTTAAGGCTCAAAATAGAGATAGGAAAGAATTAGGAAAGCACTTCAGATCTAAATGAAGATAATTCAACTTTAGGAGCTACATGTTAAAAATTCAAACTCTAGGTGAAATCATGTAATAAAGTGCTTTGTCTTTATGATAATGATTTATAGGTATTATGATGAAATAAAATGCCACAATTAATTGATTTTACATAATGTCACGTTAGGGCTATAATTTACATTGGCTTCCAATTACATCAAACAGAATAAATCTCTTCATCCATCTAAAAAAGACATTCTGTTTCTTACATGCTGCTATGTTAGATTTCAGTAATCGTTTACCTTATTTTTCCTTTTATATCACATATCTTGTGAAAATGATCATTATTATTTTTTGAATCAGTAGACTAAAGCCATAAATAAGACAGCTAATAATAAAGAATGAATTCATTTTGTATTAATTAGAGAATATAATATAAATATAGCATATACATAATATGCATGGTAAATTACAGTGGAAAGTTCTCTTGGAATATATGAATGTCTTCCCCCCAATCTAGCTGAAGAATCTGAACAGGTTTAATGAAACACTATGTTACTGGGTAATAGCATAAGCAAATAGGCTTTAAAATGTTAAGTGAAGAAAGAGAAAAGAATAGAGCAGAACATCCATGTTATAAATGCAAAGAAATGCCACCTTGGAAGTTGCACATTATGCTAAGGGAAGAGAAGTCAGATATAGTTCCTTTTAAAGATCACAAGCTTTAAACGGGGCATGGTGGTACTGAGGGGAGAAACGAGAAATAAAAGGAACCAACAAAAAAAGTTGTGGGAGGTGGTGTGAGGAAAATGAGAAAAAGTGGAACAAGACCCACACCAAATACCCTCAGCCATACGGGACAGAGGAAGTCAGGAGGACAAGCTGACATGAAATCCTATGGTCCAATGCTGCAGCCTGTGTTTGGATTCCACATGGCAACTACCTCCTACCTTTTTGGTCAGCAGGGTGAGGGGGCACATGTGGGTACTTGGAGGGCTTCTTGATATGGAAGTTCACGTTGTCCAGCTCCACGTTCAGGCTGATAGAAGCGGCTGAGTCACTGTCCACTGTGGACTGGAAACTGCTGACTGATGTGCGCTTGCTAGGACTGGCAGAATCTTTTAGTGTTGGGGAGGGGAAAGAAATATAGGGAGAGGAGGGGGTAAAAATGGGTTTCATCAGGGTATCGGAGGAAAGGAGAAAAATGTTTTCTTTAATATACAAGCCCAATGTGCAATACCAAAATGGATACAGTATTTTCATGTACTTCTGTGTGTAGACTTAATAAAATTTGAACAATAGATAAAATCAATTTTTAAAATAAAGAAATATACTGGAGGTTCTGCAGAAAGAAAGTCTGATATTATAGTGAAGAGGTGAGAAAGTCATCTGCTGCGATATTATTTGCTCAGAGTTATTTTTAAGCTGCTGCAAACTAGAGACTATGGTAAAATCTGGAAATGCCAGTGGCCTAACAAGTCGGTTTCTTAAGAAAATACTGTATCTAGGACAAGAACTGCTATCAGATGTTTTCATTTAGTTGGAGTCATAAATCTTAACGTAAGGTTGTTTCAACTAAACAAACAAGACCCTAATTTTATCACCATACACAGTAATGATTCATAAAAACTAAAATGTTAGAAAGTTAAACTCACTAGCCAAATTATCGTCACCTTCTTCAGCTATCTGTTCTGTGTCGCTGTCATCAAACTTTATATCTTTAAACCAAGATGGCTCAGAGTGTCCTTCCACAGAGTTCACTGAGTCACTGTCCGGAGAAGGTGTCTCGGAGAATTCCGTACTCTGAAGAGATCAAGACAGGATCCAAGCAATTTACCCTTAATACCAACAACACTGAGGCTGTCATCCTACAAATAAATTCTAGTCTACTATTTCTATAAATCTAACCAGGGAATACATTTATGTAAAAATAAACAAAAACTATGTCATAAGCCAGCATCATACTAATAAACGTCATCCTTAAAATACAATTATAATTTTCATCAACCAGAAGGTGTGGTATTAAGAACAAAATATTTCTTTAACAGAATTTACAGTGTTTCATTTCATCCTTTAGACCTGAGAGTGAAAATGGCTTAAAATTTGTTCTAACTCTGCATCAACTCTAACACAAATGCTGAAAGGTAACTTTAGATTTTAACAAATCACACCACACAAGTCTTTTGGGGTATTTGTCTCTTTCTTCCAACCACTGAGTTTCCAATTTTAGTTCACAAAAGTATTGCTAAACACTAATTTATATCAAATTACATAAACCAAAAGTGAAAGTGTATCTTTTTATAAAGCTCTATCATTAAACAAATAACTTCCACTTCCGTAACTAAATTTTTAAAAATCAGATAAATAGAACATTCAATTTTACCATTGCAGTACAATTTAACATTGCTAAAGAGTCAAAATTTAGTTCAATGGTGATATTAAATTTTTCAATAATTTTATGATGTACACTCCCTCCTACTTCTAAAAATGTACATAGTAAAGCTGAAAACCATTAAAGTTAAATGACAAGTAATTATAATACCACAAAGCCAAGCTTAAGAAAAGCTACAGTAATTGAATAAGATGTTTGATTCCAATAGCAGATTTTTTATCACTACTCCCTATCAAGTAAAAATGTTTTAACTTTCTTCAAACAGCATGGGAATGTGTTAGAAAAAAAGTATCTTTGGGTAATTCAACTACTTTTTATTCCCACTAAGGAGGAAAGACTTAAGAACAAGCTTGATATATCCTCATTAGCAGAAACACTGAAAATTACCTGCAGGGGTCTGTACAGTGCATACTCATCCCTGAAAAGCTGATCATGATGACTAACACAATCCAGCCATCGGCCATCGACCATTGCTTGTCCAATTGCTATAGCTTGTGCCCTGAGTCAAGATCAACAAAAAAGAAAAGCTATAAAAATCAGTTAAAATAATTTTACAAGTATAAGATCTAATCAGAGTTGGAATTTCAAAGGGTCCTTAGGTAGGTGAGGAATAAGATACATCAAAACATACTTAAAGCTAAATTAGAAGATTCTTCCAGGTACCATAGTAAAGGAGGAGTACTTACTGGTAAAACAGTCTTAACTAACCTAATTTTAATTACTACAAGCATTTAGTGAGTGGTTAATGCATACACACCTCTCTACTTAGTAGAGGAGTAAAACAAATTGAAGACAGCTTGGCTCTTACCCTAAAGGAGGTTTACAGTCTTGAAGATGACATTAAGTATTATAGATACAGGTATAAAATGTAAATACATCTATAGAAGTCCAAGTCTCAAAGAGATTGAATAACTTAACTAAAAGCAAAAAGCTAACAGTAGACAATGCCAAAGTTAGAACTCAGAGCTTCACTGCTTAAAGGTGTTTCTTTCTCTCCACAACTTGTTTCTTCCCATGAGAGGACAGCTAACCTTACCAAGTGGTAAGAGCTAGGGGACCTGTTAACTTGAAAAGCAACAGTATCTATCAGTCACTCTATTCTATAAGTGATGTGTGAGGTGGGCTAGGACACTCCAGGCATGGTTTATGTACTAATTCTCAACACAGACTGCAACGTCTAGATTAGAGAATAGCAGCAGGAGAATCCACTTTGGCTTTAGGCCCCAGCTACATTCCCCAATCCTGCTTTTTGGGAATTCTGCATTTGGGGAATTACTGCATGCTTCTGCTTTTAATAAGGCTAATGGGACCCCATGTGCTCCTTTCATCTATTCTCTAAACCCAGATGTGAGGAGGGATTAGTACCTCAAACCATGAGATACACGCAATGAACAGCATCCTACTCACAAAGAGATGTACTTCCCTTAATCTTCAAATATGTGTCCTCATTAAAAATAAATTAATAAACTATATCCAAATGTCTTCAAAATCACAATACCTTGTAGCAATGTGTCCATTTCGGATTAGCCAGTTGACTAATTCCTTTCCTACAATGCAGTTGGGATGTGTTCTCAGCCAGTAGCGGTGATCCTGAAACTCCATTCCACTACTGTGATGGCAGATTTTCTTCCACAGGTCCTTTAACTGAACACTGTCCTGCAACCACATTAAAAGCAAATAATTACTCATGAGAAGGATGCTTTGCACCTCTTCAGATTCTTTCCTGTGATTTTTTGATTCATGAAAACAAATTCAATTTAAGACTGCTTTGTAGTAGCTTAGACACATACATGGGGGATACCTTGAATTCAGTTCAGCTAATCATAAACCTAAGTTTTTCCCTTGAAAACCAGCTATCCCAAATACTACTTTTTTTCAGTCAGTAGTGTATAGAACCATTTTCCGAGTTTTCTAAGTGCAAAATATCGGACTCTTCTTTGCAGATGAGACAAGGGAGAGGGAGACGGCCATCAATCATACCAGTCTAAGGTAACTGTTCCTAGCTAGCCTTAACCCCACCAGATTCTCACCTATACCCAACTGCCAGGTGAATTTTCCTAAAAAAAAAGGCCTTCAGTGAATTAATTACTCCCCTGCTCCAAAAAACTTCCAGTGTTGCTCAGTGTATACAGGTACAAACCTAAACTTGTAAAAACTGAATTCACTGCCTTCTAAACCATGCAGTCCCAAATAATTTTCCATTCTCACTGCCCACAGATTCCAATTTAAATTCTCTCCCAACCTCTCCCAATTATAATGCTACTTCTGTCCATGGAAAATGCTATCCTTATTCTTGCCTCCATAGCTTTCCTCACACCTTTAAAGATTCCCTTTTCTCGCTGCCTATCGAATTCCATTCCCATCCTTCAAGGTACAGTCCAACCCCTTCTGTTTAAAGCCTTTCCTGACTTCCTTACTAGTAATGATTTTTTTTCTCTGAATTCTTATAGGACCCATGGTCCATATTACTTATTTGACACTCTGTTTACTATTAACGTGTTACTTCACTGTTAAAGACCTGCCCATTTATGTATAGTATTAAAAGTTTGAAAAGCTTTCCATGTGTATGAGAAAACAGGTTTCAAAGCTTAAACAGACCATCTGCACCTAACTAAAGGTTAAGCTCTCTTACCATGTGGGCACCTGAATTCTGATCTTGCCAGATGAAAGGTGTCAAGAAAAAATTAGCACAATATATAAGTGAGGAACATGTGACCAATTTCTCAAGTTATCCTAGTAAAAACTTAAGCTAACATTTGTATGTTCCTCTAAGAAAAAAATCAGTGAGAAAAACATCTTTTATGCTCAAAACTAGCAATGGGTCAAAGATACTGGACCGGTACCAGAAGAATTTTGCGTTCATCCTCGGTGGTCTCTGTTCTAATGTATGTTCGGTTAGCCTGGGGACTGACAGATGTCTCATATGAAGGTACCATAGGAGAACCAGATCGATCCAGTGACAGGTTAGTAATGCTGGCTGATCTGGAAATAAAAATGACACACAGTCGTAAATTCTGCAACAATAAATTACAGTAAAAATTCATTTTAAAATAAATGTTCACTTGCCAATGTTAAGTATACTTTTAAAAGTAGTTATGATAGTTTACATGTTATCATTGGGGGAAGCCAGGTGAAGGGTACACAGGAACTCTCGCACTATATTTGTAATGACTCCGTGAGTATAAAATTAGCTCTACAATCAAAATGCATCTAGAATTTGATTATTTCTCATCTCCCTGGTCTAAGCCAATTCTCCTGCATGGACTATTGCAACAGCTTCAAAATGGTCTTCTCCTCTTATGCTCTACAATCTAGTCAAAAGAGCAGCTAGGGTGTTTCTTTCAAAACATAATTCAGATCATATCACTCCCTCCCCGTTCAAAACTCACCAATGAGAAGTTTTTTCGAATAAAATGTCAACTAATAAATATAGAAGGAATGGTGGTGTTAGAAAACCACCATTTTGCAACCAAGATAGTAAACATTTGATTCAAGCAAGAATCGTAAAACTATTGAGTAAAAAACTGATGGGGAGCAAGACATTTACAGTGTCTCAAAGTATCTCCACTACACATTATTTATGAATTACAAAGGGAGAAATGTTAACTTTACAGTGGAGGAAACTAGCAGACACCACCTTAATCAAGACATCAAGTCAACATCTCCAATAATGGGATAAACTTGTATTATATTCTTCCTGACATAATAAATTGAGAAGACTACATCACTTACGTAGTATTCCTGATAAAAAAAAGTACACAGCCAAAATCTAAACATGAGAAAGCATTGGACAAACCCAAATAGATGAGCGTTCTACTGAACAACCGGCCTATAGTCTTCACAAATAACCACTATCATGAAAGAGAAAGAAAGACTTAGAGACCGTTACCGATTAAAGGAGACCAAAAGGCGGGACAACTAAATGTAATGCATGATCCTGGACAAGGTCACAGATTGGGGAAAATTTACTCTAAAGGACATTAGAACAACTGGCAAAATCAGAATATATATTGCATATTAGATAACAGAAATTTATGACTGTTACCTTTCCTGAATTTGTACTACAGTTATGTAAGAGAATATTATTGTTCTGAGGAAATACGTATTTAAATACTATGTACTTGTCTGAAATTTACTCTTAATTGGTTCAGAAAAAAATAGTATGTATATTATATATATAAAAAATGACAAAGCAAATGGGCAAAAGGTAAATAATTAGTGAATCTCAATGAAGGATGCAAAAGAGTTCATTTTACTCTTCTTACAACTTCTTCATGTTTCAATTTTTTTCAAAATATTTAAAAATTAAGTAAAAATAGAAAGCAAAACTCTCCAGTAGCTTCCTACCTCACTCAGAGTAAATGACAAAGTCCTTACAACTAACTGCAATATTGCTCTACTCCAGGTCTACAAGACTCCTTGGCATTCCTTGCCAGGGGAGTGTTTCCTCTTAGAAATGTGTTATTCCCTTTGTTGTCTTGGTTTACTCTTCCCCAAGATGCCTACATGGCTCACTCCCTCACCTCCTTCAGGTCTTTACTCAAATGTCACTTTCTCAGTGATGTCTCCCTTGACCAAACTATTTAAAATTTCAATCCCCACCTTCCCTATGCTTTCCTGTGCTTTAAATTTTTGTTTTTGATTAACTGCTGTATTCCCAGCACTAAGTTTGTAGGTAGTCAATAATTACTTGTTGAAATAACAAATTGAAAGTACACTGCTGTTGTTAAGTGCTATTGAGTCAGTTCTAACCCATAGTGACCCCATTTACAACAGAACAAAACAGTGCCCGGTCCTGCGCCATCTTCATAATCATTGCTATGCTGGAGCCCATTGCTGCAGCCACTGTGTCAATCCATCTAGTCAAGGGCTTTCTTCTTTTTCACTGACCCTCTACTTTACCAAGCATGATGTCCTTCTCCAGGGACTGGTGTTCTCTCTCTTCATAACATGGACAAAGCACATAAGATGAAGTCTTACTATCCTCACTTTTAAAGAGAATTCTTGCTGCACTTCTTCCAAGACAGTAACTCTTCTAGCAGTCCATGGTATATTCGATATTCTTCACCAACACCATAATTCAAATGCATCGATTCTTCTTCGGTCTTCTTTATTCACTGTCCAGCTTTCGTATGCATACGAGGTAACTGAAAATACCATGGTTTGGGTCATGCACACCTTAGTCCTCGAAGTGACATCTTACTTTTAACACTTTAAAGAGGTCTTCTGCAGCAGATTTGACCAATGCAATGCACTGTTTCTTGACTGCTGCTTCCATGGGCGTTGATTGTGGATCCAAGTAAAATGAAATCCCTGACAACTTCAATCTTTTCTCCATTTATCATGATGTTGCTTATTGGTCCAGTTGTAAGGATTTTTGTTTTATGGATAAGGTGTTATCCATACTGAAGTCTGCAGTGTTTGATCTTCATCAGTAAGTCTTTCAAGTCCTCTTCGCTTTCAGCAAGTTAAGATTGTGTCATCTGTATATTGCAGGTTGCTAATGAGTCTTCCTCCAATCCTGACGCCACATTCTTCTTCATACAGTCCAGCTTCTCTGGCTATTTGCTCAGCATACAGGCTGAATAAGTATGGTGCAAAGATACAACCCTGATGCACACCTTTCCTGATTTTAAATCATGCAGTATCCCCTTGTTCTTTTCGAATGACTGCCTCTTGTTCTACTATAGGTTCCGCGTGAGCTCAACTAAGTGTTCTGGAATTCCCATTCTTCACAATGTTATTTATAATTTGTTATGATCCACACAGTCGAATGTCTTTGCATAGTCAATAAAACACAGGTAACAATCTTTCCGGTATTCTCTGCTTTCAGCCAAGATCCACCACTTGTCTGTCAGTTTGTCATACTGTGTTGCCTTGCATGTTACTGTAATGCTAGAAGCTGTGCCACCAGTATTTCAAATAACCAGCAGGGTCACCCATGGTGGTGTATTTTGATTTCAACATAGCTTCCAGAATAAAACAGACTGAGGAGGACCTGGCAATCTACTTCTGAAAAAATCGGGCAGTGAAAATCTTATGGATAGCAGCAGAAAGTACATTAAACCATACTAATTCACATGTCTAGTTGTTCAGGTTTATAACCACTTATTCAGAACCTAAGCTTGCAATAAGGAAAGCATTTTCAGCGGCGAGGTGTGGGTATTAGCAAGATTCCAGTGAGCTGAAAAAGTAGAAAAAAGTATGCAAGTACAATGGTTACAGGCAACTATTTCAAGGAATTTGGCTAAGAAGAAAAGAAATAATTGAGAACATAGGTAACTGGAGGTAAACGTGAAAGAGGGTGTTTGCTTGTTTGGAATAAGACCTGCATTTGTTTAAATGCTAATGGTAAGGAGTCAGCAAGACAGGTGGACTGTACAGAACATCCATGGGGTGACTAACAAGAAATGGGAAGAGATGGGATCTGGAATACAAACGAAGCAATCAGCCTTGGTTAAAAGACAGAAGAGAGAAAAAAAGATGGCTCCAAATGTCATCAAGATGGCAACTGGTGATAAAAGCTGAGGAAGTCCTCATCTGGCATTTCCTCTCTTTGCTATGTACTAAAAAGTGAGGTCATCTGCTGCGTGAGAAAAGAGAGGAGGGTATAGGTTCAGAGATCTAAAGCCAGTGGAGAATACTGAAAAGTGCCACTGGGAGAATATAAGCTAGTGCTGAGTAGCAAAAAGAAAATAACTTAATTCAGCTTCCAGAGCTAGGAGAAAAGTATATCCATCAGCATCTGTGATTGTCTGTTCTTCTCATTACTACGAAAAGAAACAAAAATCAGACACAGAATAAGTGTTGTCATTTGGAGTTTACCTATTTCGAGCAGGAGATTTTCCAGCATCCTCTTGAACAGATACAAGTCCTGCTGACAGAGCAGTATTTGAGGAGTCTGGATGAATCAAACTATAAAGAAAATAAGAAAAATAGTGAGATCATTTGGAATAGCCACAGGCAAATCTATATTTAAAGTTTTAATGAGGTGCTTCAGTATTTTGAAGCAGATTAAGTATTTTTCTCTGTAATAATGAGATGAGTTATTTTTATTTTCTTCTTTAACCAGTGTAGAAACTGGATTTTTTTTTATCTTAAGTACATTAAATACCAAAAGATGATAAAGAAAATTTACTAAGCATGCTGAATGCCAATAAAATAATAAAACTGGTTAGATGCAGAACTCCTTCTCACATCACATGTACAAGACCGAACAAAGTTTAATGTCCTAGATTTTCTGGGACAATCCTGAATTCAAATATTTTATTAGTCCCCATAACACACTGGAATAGCACTGTAGAGTCAGATAAACCTAGGCCGAGTACAGGCTCTACCTCTTACTGTGTGACCTGGAGTACATTACTTAATCTCTCTGAACCTCAGCATACACACCTGTCAAAAAGACAAAATACTGCCCACCACAGAGACATGATGACTAAAAAGAGAATGAACACTAAACAATTAGCACAGAACCTGAAGTTTAACTATTATTCTACCTTTGACATCCACTCTACATCTCTTAAAAAGCTTTCTAGTTTGCTTTATTAAATCATAATTGCCAATTCTGGGCTCATACAACAAGGCTACAGTACAACTAAAAGGCATTACTAACTAAAGTAAGCAAGAGCTTACTTTACTATGCTTTTTAGAAACTGTTTCATTAAAGATAGACTTCTTTAATTTAAAAAAAATGTGAATAATGATGCCACAAACACCCTTGTACCCACCACGTAATTTAAGAAAAAGAAAGTCACCACAGACGTTGAAGTCTCTGTATTCCCTGTCCAATCCTGTCCCCTGCTTCCTTGCCTCAATGACACCACCGTCCTAAATGTTGTTTATCATTCCCTTGCTTTTCTTGAAGTTTTACCACACTTTATCCCTAGACAATGTATTGTTAGTTTTGTATTATTTTTAACTGCATGTATGATTAGGTGACTTTCTTTTCTATGCTACGTTATGTCCCTGAGATTCAACCATGTTGAATATAGCTGCCAAGTCATTCATTTTCACTTCTGTTTAAATTCATTGATTACCTACCGATATTTCTCCCTCCTTTAGCAGGTAACTGAGAAAGTAACTTATCACAAAGATGTTTGTGAAAGCTCTAAGTTCTTTGACAATGACAGATGTGATATTATGCTAAAGAAAACAATTTAGCTACAGAAAACAATCAAAAACTGATAAACTTATGATTCTAATTCCAATAGTTCCAGATAACTGCCAATAGTCAGTAACATCCCCCCTATTAGGCAATGCAGCATACTTAATAATATAGAAAAATATAAAATGTTCCTTAGAAAACAAACAATTTAATTTTTTTTTGCAAATCTTGTGACTACAAATTGTATGGGCATCCTCCTTAACAAGGCTACATTAGGAATTATTAATTACAATTACTTCTGTTGTCTACGGAATCACTCAACAAGTATTTATCAAGATCACATATATGCATGCATTATTTTTGTGCCAGAGGTAGAGAAGTGAACAAGGAAGATATAAAGACTCTCCTGTCATGGAGCCAACATTCTAATTAGTCGGTATCATCACTATCCATAAACTTCCTCTCTGAACCTTTTAGAGGCAAGTCAAGAAAAGGAAGAAAATAATGAATTTGGAGGACACATTCAAAGAAAATAAACGTTAACCAAAAGCACTCACAGGTCACAAAACTATCACTATTTCTAAAATACAAATGAAATTATATTTAACCGAAGCTACCTTTGCCAGGCCAAATCATCCTCTAAAAATATGTTGCGGCTGGCTTTTCTACTCCCAACAGGTGTTCGGGGTTCACTCGGATCAAGCACAGACACAGAGCAGGCAGAATCTGAAAGTGCATTCAAGTCTTCCCCAATAGAATTACTGTCTGTGGAATGAGCATAACTTAAGGCTATTTTTCTACAGTATGTGCAAGCTCGGAGATCCCCTAGGAGAGAAAAAAAATTAAGTAAAAGTTAGTATTAACGCATGACTCAACAGAGCATTTTAAACCCTTAAGTTAGTAGTTAGTCTACTGACAGGGAAATATCTTCAAGCAAAGACTACCAAAAGAGACATTTTAAAGAAGTTATATAATTTAGTTAGTTCTTTTACTTATTTTTAGGAACCACTATTATGATAAATTCATCCAAGTGTCCAAATTACCTCAAATATATGAGTGGAAAACAACTTCACAGCACCTAACAACAACAATTATTTATGAATTAAGAAAATACAACCCACTGATACTAGAAAATTGTGCTTAAAAGAATTTTTTTAAGGCTCTAAAAGTTAAATAAAGGATCTATCAGAGAGAGTAGGTTCAAGGAGGCAAAGAATTTTTACTCAAGTAAATAAACCAACACAAAGCAGAACATATCTTCCCTAAGCAACAAGAAGGATGTTAAGGACTCTATTGTGAAGCCCTATAAGGTCCCTAAGAACGGACTCGGCGGCAATGGGTTTGGTGTTTTTTTAATTGTGAAGCCAGGAAAACTGGCCTACACAAGGGGGTATATTTTTAAAAACAAGCTAAGAGGAACTGGCTTACAGACAATATGAAAGATGGGGTTAAAGACTAGAAAGACTATAATGAAAGGATAGAAATGAAATATTCTTGGGAGAACATTTAACACTTGAAATGTGAGCAAAACTTAGATATTATTGACTGTATATAACATTCAAATTACCTTCAATTTCCCTTTGTTTTCAATTTCTCAAAAAGTACAAATGAAGAGAATCTCACCACCACCAAGAAAGAAGAACCGGGAGTGGCATACGTCCTTTGGACCCGGGATCCCAGTGCTTAGAAGCTCCTGGTACCAGGAGACTGAGAGAGAGAGAGAGTTGTAACACCAAAGACAGCAAGAAGCAGCAGCTGAGAAACAGCGGCAGCAGAAGCAGGAGACAGGCAGGAGAGAAGAAAGCTGAGTGCCTTCAGGCAAGAGCCTTGCTGGCAGAGTAGAATGCCTTCAGGCACTTAGTGGACCTAGGTTTGCCAACCCATAGAGCTAGAGCTGCAAACCTTCAGGCCAAGGCTTCCTGGCAGAGTGGGGTGCCTTGGGGCACTTATCAGTGGAGCTAGAACAGCTTTGTAACACTTGACCGAGCAAGGCAAAAGCTGAGGGACCAGAGAGAGGTATGCCTACAGGCAAAGCTGAGAAGAGGCTGTCTTGATCGAAGAACTGTATTCTGGCTGTTCCTGAACATAAACTGTAACCTGTTAGTTCCCTAATAAAATTCGTAACTGTGAGTATGGTCTGTGAATTCTGTGCGGCCACTGCAATGAATTAATCAAACTCACCAGAGAAGCAGAGAGTGCTGTGGGAGGGACGGTTGGTGTCAGAATAGGTAAAAAGGTTGGTGTCAGAATTGGTAAAACGGACTCACAAGAAGAGGTATATCTGACCTCCACCTCACAGCAATCAGCCTTGGGCTGGTGATCTTGATTCTACATATCCCTTGTGAAGTTAGAGGTCAGACACCTCCGTCACACCATCTTTACAGTTGGTGTCAGAAGCAGGGATCGCTGCAATGGTTCTAGACTTACGGAAGCAAGGAACTTAGAAAAAGAAAGAAGGGGTGTGGAAAGTGAAATTTTTGGTTCTTAGACGGTTACTTTGTTACTGCAATTGCTGAAAGGAAAGTAAGAAATGTTATGCCGCAGCTGAGAGGAGACCCACATGTGGAGAGGTTGGGGCAAGGTCCAGGCCAGTTAAATGGGATGAATGATAGGGGGTCAGGGTCTTCTAATTCTACCCAGAGAGAGGCCCAAGGCCATATGCATATAACTGGAAAGACAGTTAACGTGTGGAGGAGACAACATGAACCTCAAATGTTTAGAAGGGCTTATATGTTTATCTGAATGTACTAGGGATACCGAATGTTTCTCCTACTTAGTGTTGTAAAACAAACCTAAATGTATGATAGAAATGACTACTGGGTACAGGCATACCTCGTTTGATTGCACTTTGCTTTATTGTGCTTCGCAGATATTGCATTTTTTACAAATTAAGGTTTGTGGCAACCCTGCATCCAGTAAGTCTATCGGCGCCATTTTTCCAACAGCATGTGCTTACTTTGTGTGTCTGTGTCACATTTTGGTAATTCTCACAATATTTCAAACTTTTTCATTCAATCTGTTACGGTGATCTGTGATTAGTGATCTTTGACATTACCATGGTAACTGCTTTGGGGCAACACGAACCACACCCATATAAGACAGCGAACTTAATCGATAGATGTTGTGTGTGTTCTGATTGCTCCACCAACTGGCCAATTCTCTGTCTCTCTCCCTCTCCTCAGGCCTCCCTATTCCCTGAGACCCGACAATATGGAAATTAGGCCAATTAATAACCCTACAATGGCCTCTAAGTGTTCAAGTAAAAGGAAGAGTCACGTCTCTCACTTTAAATCAAAAGCTAGAAATGATTAAGCTTAGTGAGGAAGGCATGTAGAAAGCCAAGAGAGGCTGAAAGCTAGGCCTTATGTGCCAAACAGGGCTAGGGATGAGACAGAGAGAGAGAAGAGGCTGGCTGGTCTGAAGTGCAGGGAGGTATAGGTGTGTGTGGACTCCTGAGCTTATGACTGGTACCCATTATGACTTAGCTTGGATGGCTAGGGATGAGCTGACCAGAACCTGGCTGAATGAAGAGAAAGGTGTTTGACACCATGAGCTGGTATAAATTTTTGCAATTTGATGGTTTTTTGCTTATGGATGCAGATGCTCAAAGTTCCAACTGTCTCATGGATTGAATTGTGTCCTCAAAAAATCTGTGTCAACTGGGCTAGGCCATGATTCCCAGTATTGTGTGGTTGTCCTCCATTTTGTGATCTGACATAATTATTCTATGTGTTGTAAATCCTAACCTCCATTATGTTAATGAGACAGGACGCAATCTACAGGATTAGGTTTTATCTTGAGTCAATCTCTTTTGAGATATAAAAGAGAGACATGAGCAGAAGGAGAGGGACCTCATTACCACCAAATAAGAAGAGCCAGGAGCGGAGTGCAACCTTTGGACCCGGGGTCCCTGCACTAAGAAGGTCTTAGACCAAGGGAAGATTGATGAAAGGACCTTCCCCAGAGCCAGCAGAGAAAGTAAGCCTTCCCCTGGAGCTGGTGTTCTGAATTCAGACGTCTAGCCTCCTAAACTGTGAGAGAATAAAGATAAGCAGGAGCCAGGAAAAGAAGCGCCTTACTGACCATACTGACAAGACAGGGTTTTATCCTCAGGTAATGAAACGGTATCAGACAGGCGAATACCCTGACATGATCAAATTAGCATTTTATGAAGAATAGTAAATAGAGTATGAAAAATGAATTAGAAGTAGAAAAAAGCTAAAAGTAAAAAAGTCTTTTGAAAGGTGTAGCCATAATCCATATAAACAATAATGAGAGTTTGAACTCTCTGAAAAAAGTGAAGAGGGCCACGGTAACAAAAATAATATGAGAGGGATGGTAGGAGTGTTCTCTTTTTGATAACATCTACCCACCTCCCACTCTCAAGGCACTGTATAAATCCACATACCATTATTCAGTTCTTTTCATTAACAAATAACTTAAATTTTCTGTATTATTAAAATTTTATTATGTTCCTTATTGAAAAATATAAGTAAGATGCAATTTGCCAAAGCAGTGTCATATAACTCAAGGAAGAGCTGCACTCTATGAATGAAAACTTTCATAGTAACATAAGTTAGTAATCTACTCTATCTTTTCTAATGAATTTCAGTGCCCCTACAGTTTTTTGCTAGCATCGATAATATACTATCTTTTACTCTATTTATTTATGTACATTTCCATTTACTTTATTGTTCGACTGTAAAATCCTCTAAAACAAAGCTGTGTCTCACTCATCTTTGTGTCCTCCATGTCTTACTTGTAATGCCCAAAATAAGAATTGGCTCAATAGTCATCCTGTATTATTACTATTTTACAGTAATGACCCTTAGAAGTTGTAAAACTCAATAAAATGCACTTACCTGTGTAGCCCATAAATTTTCCAGGGATTTCCTGATTGCAGCAACGACTGCAGAAAATCTGCCCACACAGTCGGCAATGGTGTCTACGCCTAAAGGTTGTAAACTTCTCACTACAGTCATAGCACTCTTTACATTGGCTATCCGGCATCCAATACTGCTTCAGGTCACTATCCTGTAACAATAAACATGTGTAAGGTTTCTCAAGAGTATTATTAAGACACAATGGCAAATGCAATCCTAATACAAAATCCAGAAGATTTCTTTTGCAGAAATTTACAAGCTAATTCTAAAATTCATGTGGAAATGCAAAGGGTTAATATGGCCAAGATAATCTTGAAGAACATAACTGTAACAGCCCTCAAGAATTATTCTAAAGCTATGGAAATTTCAAACAGAGTATTGATTCAAGGACAGAAACAAAAAGGAACTATGGAATAGAAAACAGAGTCCTGGAAAACATTCACACGTATATGGATTTATGACAAGATTTATAATGCAGTCAGGGAAGGATCGTCTTTTCATAAAAAACGGTGCTGGGTCCAACTAAAAAAAAATTCAGGCTGGATCCCTACGCTTCACACAAATAATAAAGCTTCTTAAAGAAAGCATGGAAGAGTATCTACTGACCCTGAGCTAAATAAAAAACTTCTTACACAGAACACAAAAATCACCAACCATAAAATGGGAAAACAAATTAGACTACATTAAAATTAAGAACTTATGTGTAAAAAAATGCGGTGTTCTTAGCTGGTAGTAGTATGAACTGAACTTTCTTTGAAGTGGTATTATGCCATTTTCAGTGGGCATGGCATTATTCCCATAAATGCTTAATAAGTAATCCTACAAAGCTTCTAGGCGGTACCTGGCTTTTCCCCTCCATGATTTCCTTCAGGCGTTTTAATACTGTACTGAGGCTTCGAAGCTGAACAGCTGTACGAGGGTCATGACCTCCAAAGTTAGGTTCTGCTTTCCTTCTTGCATCTGATTTAGATTTGGAGGGGAAAGAAAAAAAAAAAAACACCTTATCAACAGTCCCCAGTATCTATGCACAATAATGTATATGTGTGACTCAAACTGCTTCCTGTTGTCAGCATATGCTTACGTTCTCCCAGCCAGTGATACAGATTGAGAGTTTAATCTTTGTTAAGAGCAAGAGAATGTTGAAAGTGCTTCTTATTACCATGTAAAACACTGTTTCACCAGCAAGTAAGGGGCCCTCATGCCTAAGACAAACATTGTCTAAGACCATTGATGGTTTTAAGGCCTGTGACAGGTGTGTTGCTTAAATGGCCCAAAATTCATTAATGATTTCTTAGGCCCTTTGGGCCTAACCCACAACAAATATCCACAAAAATTTAGCAGAAGAGAAGTAATCTCAGAGTATTAACCTAGCTTAATCTTTAAAGTCAAACAGGTAAGCAATCAGGTCAAATAGTTCAGTTAAGTCTGAAGACCATGTATCCAAAGGTCTCATCAAGATCATCAGAAAGGAATTTAATAGTCCAGCTCCCAGAGATTCAGAACATCCAGGATGTAAATTTTGCCAGAAATCTTCTTTGATCAATGTCCAATCAGATTAAAACTGCCAGAGGATTATTAGAACTCTAACCCCACCCCTCTTACCCCTTCTCTCCACCACCCCCTACAGCTCCAAATAAAAGGGATCACTCACATTTCAGATATCAACACTGAAGCCAGATCTATCAATAAAACAAGCCCAAATTCCAGCTATGCGGCCAGAATGGAATCTGCCCAACTAAGTTGCCACTTATTATTTCCTTATTTCAGAGCAAGACTACAACTGAAGTTTCCACCTGTTCTTGGCAATGGAAGTTGCAAAGCCTAAGGATGAACATCCCTATCAGCTTAAGTCCATTAACCTAATAACCTATGGCAAACCAAAATGGATATTTCTTAAACTTATTAGCTAGTTTTGTTTTAGGTGTTCTTTGTTTTAGTCAGGTGGGAAAGGATTACAATGGGATGAGAGGTCAGGTCAGTACCTAAATCTAAATTTATAGTTTCCCAAAATAATTAATGAAATAATTATCTAAAACTGAACCTGTATTTTAAAATTTTGAAAACTTCCTATAAATAGTTCTAAATTTCAGCATGTACCTCAAATACGTTGTTACTAGAATACAAAAGTGTAAGTACTAGAATGATCAAATTTTTCTTGACTCTCAGAATACAAAGCAACTGTTCACAACTTATGAGTTGAAAAATGAGGCAGATGAACCTGTTAGTTCCCATGTGCTCCCATGCAGGAGAAACAATTGTGAAGCCCCCTGCATTTAGCCACTTAGAAATAAGAAAAAGTACTAATAGCATCACCCACTGGAAAAGGAAGCGTGAGTGAGACTCGTTCTCAATCGGGAACCAAGAGAATCACAGACCTTGGATGAAACAGAAAATCTGATCTAGCTTTGCCCTTAGGCAAATAACTTTAGTTACTTCTCTTGTGAAACAGTATTAGAATATTAATTATGACTTTCCTAAGGTCACAGAGCTAGCAAACTGTAAAATTAGAGCCTTTTAGAAAGGAAAGGAACTTGATTGATCCAACAGTCCTCAGCTTCCGAAGCTCAAAAGCAAATTCTAGAATTAACAGCTTTAGAGGAGAGGAACTTGATTGATCAAACAGTCCCTGGCTTCCGAAGCTCAAAAAGCTAGGGTAGCATAAAAAAATCAAGTGTGCTTGATAAAAGACAATAAGGAATAGTGAGGACTGTGGCAAAGTGGATCTTACATGCTCCACCTAGAAACACTTAAATTCATGTTTCATAAAAACATCAAAGGCAAGGTTTATTTCTCTCCCTGCCCCCTAACTCTAACTCTAACCCTAATGCCCCTTGTGACTCTTCCTTCCAATTGGCTGATGAAACCCAGGCTAAGGCTCATTGCCCTAGAAAACCTACAGATGTAATGCAGCCAGCTCTTTAGTCCTTAAGGAGAAACTCTTCTGCTTGGTTTTTCCTCCTTCTTCTGCACCACCAGAAGGTAGATGTTCTGAGCCAAGTCTCAGCTAGTAATAAAACATCCCTCTGCTGACCACCAGTAGCTATGCCTATTTTTTACTCAAGGACCTCATGGGGAAGAGCGGCCAGACCAGGCAGGATCCCTTGTTCCAGGATACATGTCTGACTCCCAATACTACACTCCTTCCCTCTCATTATGCCACCTCCCGCTGGTTTTCTTCTGTCACCTTCAACTGGGCAAACTACTCCCTTGAGTTTAGCAATCTAACAGAAATACAACCGAAACAACCTCACTTTCCCTAATCTCTCAATTCAGGCACTGATCTCCAGCCCATACTCATCAGAAGTGCATGAAAATGACAGAGATGATTGTGTAGTAGAGCAGGATGGAGAACAAACAGGCAAGAGGAGCTCAGCTTATCCAGCCACACTGACAGTTTGCACCCCAACAAGGACAGAGGCCAAGAGCAAGTGGCAGCCCACTAATGGAGTTGAGAGAGTTCTGCAGTCAGAGGCATGCATATCATATTTCACTAGCAATCCCAAGAATAGGTGCAGAATTCATTCTCAAAGGTGAAACTAACCTGTGCTCTCCTGGGGATGCTGCAAACTGTTTTCTGCTGAAACCCAAGCAAGTAATTAATCAAAAGCAGTCAAGAGATCTCTGCCTTGCCTTGCCTAAATCAAAGTTTAATGAAATGTTTAAGAATTTTTTCTAGGTATCAACAAATTCTTTCACTACTTAGATAACAGTTTCATTAATTCTGAATAACTTGTTGTTGTCGAGTCAATTCTGACTCATAGCAACCCTACAGACAGAGTAGAACTGCCTCACAGGGTTTCCAAGAAGCAGCTGGTGGATTCGAACTGCCAACCTTTTGGTTAGCAGCCGAGCTCTTAACCACCACCAGACTATTCAAAACAGCACAGAAGTTAGATCAATGACAGCCTGAGAAATACAATGACCATGGAAAAATCTAATATACAAAGACAAATTAAATAAGAACACTGTTTTACCTAACACAGTTGAAGATCGCCGATGGAGTTCCTCATTAAGCGGTTTTTTATAAGGTGTAGGTGACCTCACAGATTGTGTCCTAGTAGGAAGCTGAGGGCTGGTCCAACTTCCACTCAGAGACTGCTGCTCTCCCTGGCCCCCTTCTGCTCTCTCTGTAGCAAAGGAAAGCCTGGTACTATTTGCAAAACTAAGACTCAGAGTTCAGCAAAGAGAAATAGGTAGACAAACTTTTTCAAGCAAGAATGTATCCATATATTACACGCATAATTAAATATTAGTTTGTTTTCTTAAAAAGAAAAAAACTGAAGGGTGGCAAAACTGCAGTCCAATAATCACACTATTGGTATATGTGATCTTCTGTTTGTTTTACTTTTCATCAGTAATTTTCTGTGCATAAAGCAAATACAGGCAGTCCCAGGTTACGAATGTCCGACTTATGTACAAACTGCAGTTACAAACCAACCCTGTAAAGCCTATTATATTAAAAATTCAAGGTATAGAACAATGGTTCATAAGAACAAATGGGAGCATCAAAACATTATTACTATTATTTTTATGTATTATTATGTTAAAGATGTTTTAGTGTATCTTGAAGTGTTTCTTTAATGCTTTTCATGCAAAGAAAGGTACACTATATACTAAAGCAAACATTTGACTAACTGATGTTAGATACAAACCGTACCTGTTCTGACTTACGTACAAATTCAACTCAAAGACAGACTTAGGAACGGAACTCGTTTGTATCCAGGGACTGCCTGTACAATGCAAGCTTCACATGAAGGCAGAGAATTTTTGTTTGTGAGATAGATCCCTTGCAGTTACAACAGTACCCAGTGCATAGCAGGTACTGAGTAAACATTTGCTGAATTAAAAAAAAACAGGATCAATCTTATAACAACTAAATGTAATGCGGTATCCTGGATGAGATCCTGGAACACAAAAATGACATCAGGTAAAAACTAAGGAAATTTAAATAAAACATGAACTTTACAAAAAAAAACCTACATGAGAGTATACAGTCAACAATTATCCTAAAACAAAGATAAGAAAGGAAGAGGGTGGGCAAGGAATCTAGAGAAATGGAAACGGAACAATCGGAATGGAAATAATGCTGACACACTGTGAAAAATTTAACAAATGTCACTGAACAATATGAATAGATACTGTTAAATGTAAACCTAATTTTCTGTGTCAACTTTTACCAAAACCACAATGAAATATTATATATATATGTTTTACTTAATAATGCTGCTGCTGGCTGTCTTCAAGTCAGCCCCCAACTCATGCGACCCCATGGCAATGGAAGAAAATGCGGCCCAGTCCTGCACCACCCTCACCATCAGCTGTGAATCAGACCCATTGTGATCCATAGGGTTTTCACTGGCTAATTTTCAGAAGCAGATCACCAGGCCTTTCTTCCTAGTCCATCTTAGTCTGGAAGCTCTGCTGAAACCTGTTCAGCATCATTACAACACACAAACCACCACTGCTGAGTGGTAGCTGCACGTGAGGTACACCAGCATGAGAATCGAACCTGGGTGAGCAGCATGGAAGGTGAAATACTGGTTCCTTAATTATAACAAATGTACCACATTAATGTAAGATATTAAAAAATAGAGGAAACTAGATGTAAGGGTATATGGGAATTCTCTATACTATCTCCTCTGTAAATTTAACACTGTTTTAAAAAATAAAATGTATTTTTTAAAAAATCACTGTCTTAAAAGAAAACTAACAAGTTTTTGTAGGTTAAACATTTCTACTAATAAAATTCAGGTAACACTATTAAAATGTCTACTGAGTTAAGAGAACTATTAACTCCCCAAATTCCTTACAAGATTACTTTCCAACACATTTCAAATGATATAGTCAAATGTAAAGCAAAACGTATAGACTATGTTTTTTACTCTTCTTTCAAATAAATTAATATTACTTATAAGAGCTCATTTTAAAAGTATCTTTTCATTTGATGTAATTACATGTACACCTTACTCCAACGGATTTAAGTCAACAATAAGCCTGCTGGCAACTCCCAACTTCTGAAAAACATAAATCTTTCCTCCCATGTGCTGCTCTCTTTAGTTTCATTGCTTCAATTAATATCTTTTGGCTATTAACTCCCAAAAGAACAAGTCCATTCTATGAACTTAAGAGAGCTGAGGCATATGAAAAATTAAAAAAAAAAAAAAAAAGTTGCTATTTTTCTCTTTAAAAAGGAACTTCCCTAACTTCAGTTTTCAATTCAGACCTTTAGTTACCAATAATTAATAAGATTACAGTAAAAATTTTACCTTTCCCTTCTTACATAGTAAACCAAGCAACCTATGATTAAAGTTATCATCTTGTAAATATTTTACTTTCTTGCAAAGACACATCATGAAAGTTAGGGGAATTTTCAGAGAATCAAAAATGTAGATTCTCTGATCTTTAACAAGTCTTACCTTTGTTAAATCTAAAGAGATTTACAAAAGAACTATATGCAGATTTAAAAGGAGGCTCATCCTGATCTGGAGTCAAAGGTTTAAAGTGTGTGAGGTGAGAAGGACTAGTAGGAGATTGAGGCAAATCATTAGCAGAGTCCAGTGTTGGGGAAGTCTTGTCATCTGTGGCCATTTCATGAGCCTACAAAACAAAAGAAACAAGAAAAAGATACACGTCCATCAAAACCCCACTGCAGGTGAGTCAATTTCAACTCAGAGGCCCTACAGGACAGAGAAGACCTGCCCCATAGGGCTTCCAAGGCTGTAATCTTTACGGAAGCTGACTGCCACATCTTTCTCCCTTGGGGCAGCTGGTCAGTTCGAACTGCCGACCTTTCAGTTAACAGCTGAGTACTTAGCCATTGCGCCACCAGGGCTCCTTTACACATTCCCCAGGAAGCCCAAAATTCATATGGCAACACCACCCAAATACCTGGAATCTGATTCTGTGAAAATTCAGATGTATGAAACCTGAGCAGTAAATAAATCTAGTTTAGCATATACTCCATATTAGGACTTGAAAACACTACAGTCTCAATCATAAGTCTCAATCACCTAAAACTATGATTATATATAGTCAATCTAAGGTAGAATTTAAAATAGCAGTATTCAAATAACAGAAAATATCAAAATAAATAAAATTAAGTAATAAAAATTTGGAGGTAGGTATAAATGTCAGCAATCAAAGAGGAAAAAAAAATGTCCAAATCACTTAAAACTTTCATTTTTAAGCTTTTTTTGGGGAAAAACAGGGTACTCTAAATAGCTCTCTTAAGTTAGGGGGAAATTGATTTTATACAAACATATAAATTCCTCAAGGCTTTTTTTTATTTATTTTAATTTTTCTTTTTTTAAAATAATATCAAAAATAAATATTCCCAAGAAAAAGAAATCGTCCCCCCTTAATAACATTTCTATGTAACCTCAACAATTACCTCAAGCTGCACCTCATGACCTATGACAACCATCCAAATCTCTCCTTCATCTCTCCTCCTAGGCACATGAACCTGGCTTTTCTCCCTTTAAACCTAAACACATACAGCGGACGTTGAGATGAGAATCTTCTTCTTAAAGGCCTTTTTTTTAATTACCAAAAATCGTAATTCAACCAAAGCAGTAAAACTAACCACACCATCAGATGGAGGTTACAGAAATGCTGTAGGTTTATTTTCTGCTCTGGTGGCACAAAAGCTAAGCGCTCGGGTGTGGGAGAAGGTGATAGACTCCTGTAGAGATTACAACCATGGTTGTAAATCTATGGAGCAGTTCTACCCTGTCACATGGGCTCACTTTGAGTCGGCAAATCCACTTGACAGCACCTAACAACAATTAATATTTCATGCAAGATCAAAACCAAAAACCCACTGCCGTCAATTCCAACTCATAGCAACCCTACAAGACAGAGTAGAACTGCCCCATAGGGTTTCCGACGAGCGGCTGGTGGATTTGAACTGCCGACCTTTTGGTTAGCAGCCGAGCTCTTAACCACTGTGCCACCAGAGCTCCTTAATAAAACAGAAAAACTATGAACTATATATAATTCTGAACATTAAAATGCTATACTTCGTAATCTATACTTTACACAGAGGACGTTATACTCTTGTAAAATGCTTTTCACTTTCAAAATCATATCTACCATCTCATTTTATTTTTAAAATAATCCTGGAATGCGCACATAGCTGGTCTAATTACTACATTTTACCTTTGAGGCAATCAAGGTACACTGAACCTAAAACAACTTTTTCTTGAGGGTCACACAGCTAGTCAGGGTTAGACCAAGTCTCACCCCAGAATTCTTCCTTTGATTAAAATTACTTTTGTAGCTCTTCACAAGTTTCCAATTCTGGCCTATCTAAATTCTCTAACAACTACTCAAGATTTCCTGGCTAATACATTGCTTGATTAATAAAACAAAGCAGAAATGAAAACACTAACATGGACAGAATTTTGGCAATAAATGTTCATTGAAAGGGATGGAGAGGGAAGTTGATGGGGGAAAGAAAAAAGGAAGGAGAGGGGGAAGGAGAGAGAGGAGAAGGAAAAGGAAGGTCTCTTATATCATCACCTTTTTGCAGCAGGGGCGGTCAACAATCCTAGAGTATCATTATGGTCTGTATTATAGCACGAAGGGTTGGGAAATAAACTAGTGATTGACCAAGTGTAAATTCAAACAGAGGTAAAAGAAAAGGCGCTGGAGAAAACAATGGGATGACAACAGCACCCACGGGCCTCAGAAAACAGCCTACATTCTACTTTGATGTAAGTAACATCGAAAGTGGAGTTAAAAACTTGCCTAAAGAGCCTTAGTATTACTTCTAAGGGCCATCCATACCCAAAACTTTCATTATAGTCTAAATGCTTCAGAGATGCAGGATAAAAATCACCACAAGTATAGTCTCTGAAAGTATACAGAGACTACAAGTATACTCTCTGAAACATAAACACAATCACATAAAATTCATCTCAATAATTACATAATGACACTAGTGTGGGGGGGGGGACTACAACTCTCATTCTTTGAAGGCTTAATAACTGTTTATGATATAATTATAAACTAAGCTCCTTCCTAACAGGTAATTATTAGAAGTATTAATCTACTTGTCTAAAGACATCTGATGTATCACCAATACTTTACCTTCTCCATTTCAAGGCTACTAGTATACACAGATGTACTACACACTATCTTGCTGGTAAAGCTAATCAGAAGAGCTAATCCAATGGCATCACTAGAGGAGTGCGGGGGGTGGGGGGTGCAGACTGCACTGGGTGACACTATCGGGGGGTGACGCCAAAATGACTGTCTATAAAAATATCCCTATAGTTATAACAACAAAAACATTTTTCATAAACCCAGCTTACATGTATCAATAACATTTTTCATAAGCCCAGCTTACATGTATCAATATACCTACAAGGCTAAAACTCTATGCTAATTTACTTTTTGAATCTTCTAATGCACTCTGGTAGAGCTGTCATTATTACCCAATTACGACGACACTTAGAATCACGTGCTTTCATCTACACGAGCTACAAGCACATGCTGTTGTTTTCATTGCTGCTGGTGCTTTTATAGTCACTGATATTGTCAAATTTTCTGGTGTTGTAGCTACAATATTGTGGTAATTAGCATCTGTGAACCTATATCAATAACTTTTTTGAGAATCTAATAGTACTGTATTTTATGCAAATAACGTGTGCCTTCTACATTTGCCAACTACAACCTCCCCCCTCACGAGGTGTTTTCATAAGTGTGCTGTGCTAATTTTTTTTTCCTACAGTAACATGTAAAAAAAAAAAAACTGGCATACTGGCGCTTACGAAAATACCCCACGGGGAAAAGGCACAGTTGGCAAATAAACGTAGAAGCCACGTGTTATCTGGGTAAAAATACAGTAATTAAAGGAAAACAAGGGGTGACATATGGGAATTACGATTTACAAGTAACATTAGTACAAAAATCATTACTAAGGATTCTGTATGGTCTGGTACAAGAGGAGGTCCATAGGAGGAGAGGGTGACACCATGAATTACCGCACTGGGTGACACCAACTCTAGTGACACCACTAGGTTAATCAGTTATTAAAATAAAGGAAATAAGCCTATTTCCACATCAAAAATTTAGCACACGGAAAATCCAAGTATGAGTCTATTGCTGTTGTTGTTATGGGCAGAGTCTATTCTGACTCATAGCAACCCTACAAGACAGAGTAGAACTGCCCCAAGAGGGTTTTCTAGGATGTAATCTTTATGGAAGCAGATTTCTAAGTTTTTTCTCCTGTGGAGCTGCTGGGTAGGTTAGAACTGCAGGCTTAGTATGAGTCTAGTCATTTCTAAATAACTTTTTTTAATGTTCAAAACTTTCTAATAATGGATGATAGCTGAATACTATAAACATTAACTTTCATCACGAAAGTTTTTTTTGTTCAGTTTTTGACAGACGTTCCAACAGCAACACCAAAGGAAAACCATAATGTGACCCATATTACTATTTCCAGAAAGAAGAAAAAGGCAGGACACAGGAATGTAATCTTGATTTACAGAAGAGACTCCACCTGTCCAATCTTTGTACAAAACAAACAGAAAGAATCTAAGAACATTTTTTGTAAGAATCCCAATGAGTGGGAGTGTTTTGGAATGCCAGAAAACACCCTTCAAATAACTCAAAAATGTTGTTTGCCACTGAGCTGATTCTGACTCACAGCTACCCTATAGGACAGGGTAGAACTGTCCCACTGGGTTCTCAAGGCTGTAATCTTTACAGAAGCAGACTGCCAAATCTTTCTCCCACAGAGCAGCTGGTGGGTTCCAACAGCTGACCGTTGGTTAGCAGTCGAGCGCTTTAATCACTGCCACCAAAAACCAAAAACCACTGCCATTGAGTCGATTCCGACTCATAGCCACCCTATAGGACAGAGTAGAACTGCTCCATAGGGTTTCCAAGAAGCAGGTGATGGATTAGAACTGCCAACCTCTTGGTTAGCAGCTGAGCTCTTAACCACTGAGCCACCATTGCCACCAGGGCTCCTTAATTAAAAAATAAGACGGTGCAATATACCAAGAGACCACCTCTCCTGTCAGTATGGTGCAAATTCTACAACACAGGATACACTTAATACTAGAAAATTTAACATATACTCACACCAAATAAACAGGTACAACTTTGCCTTATACAGAATTCTAACATTTTTGTATTTCTTGACTGTCTTAAGAATGATAACCTCTGGAAAGGAGAGAAGATCCTGAGAACATTCTAAGGAAAGGGGGAAATACTAACTGGGAAACCAAGTCTCCTCCTTAATGAGACTTTGAAACAATGTGAAATGGAACGGCCCCAATGTTATGCATGTATTTTACATATTACGTGTTAATTTCTTTTTTTAATTCCACGGTTGTTACCGTTTCTGTAGCTCATAAACTTTCTTTTCCAGCCTACCAATGCACCTCTGACACACAGATTCAGAGCTAATCGTACAAGAGCGAGGAGAAATTGGACTATGCGTCTCCAAAGTAAGTTCAGGCACAGGAGACCGGAAAGGGGCAAGGGAACTTGAAATGTTTCCAAGGAAACCACTTCGAGAACAGTTCGACCCGGCTTCCCTCCCCACTCGCCACACAAGGGGTAGTCCGGGAATCAAGGGGACCGACTAATTCCAGGGACCGATTCTCTGCCCTCCCCTGGCCTGGTCGCATCCAGGCCTCCAACTCACGGGTGTCGAGCCCCCGTTCCCGCCTTAACCTCAGCTTCCCCCTCCCGCTCTGGCCCCGGAGCTCCCTAAGTCGGCCTCGTCCCTCACTCTCAGCTCCAGCTGGCCGCGCGCCAGACACCCTCCCTTACCTGCGCCCTCCGCCCCGGCCCCGCAAGCCCCCTTCCACCCCAGCCGCCGCTTCACCCCGCTCAGGCGCAAGAAACGCTGCGCTCCGGGGGTACAGGGGCCGCCGGCTGCTGCTGCTGCAGGAAGCGAAGCTGCTTACATGATTGATCCGGCTTCTAGCTTCCCCCCCCCAAGGCTCCGCCCCCCGTTCCTCCTCCCCTCCTATCAGCAACGCTTCCCGGACGCAGGCTCCGCCCACTCCCCCCCGCCCGCTAGACGCTAAGATCAGATGCTCAGGCAGAAGAAGTACAGCCTAGATAGAGTCGTCCCCAACGAGCTGGCCAGGCTTAGGCCGCCTCATCCTTCCTAGAGGAAGCCAGAACAGCTGCGCGCGTGAGCATCAGGCGAGCCTGGGCACCCGGATGGGTGCTGCCCGGACCGCGGTTACCGTATGTGTTCGAAAATGTACGCACCATAATATGTTACCGCGCCCACCGTTCAGCTCAGGTTAAGAAAGAGGGTTCAGCTGTCAGAGTTGGTTGACTCCTCCAATAACTAGCCATATGACTTTAGACAAATACTAATCTCTCTAGACCTCAGACCTCTTCTCTGTAAAATGGGGTTAATAACAGTACCCACTTCATGGATTCTTTTTTTTTAGGATTAAACACAATGCATGTAAAGCAACTGGCAGGATGCCTAACCCTGAGTAATCACTAAGTGATGTTAGCTCTACAGCTAATCTTATTCTAGTTTTGTGTTGCAAATGCTGGTGGCTGTAAAGTCACCAAGTCCTGTCTTGCTTAGCCTGGCTAGCACTATCTGTCATTTTTATCCTGCTCAGAGTGCTGTGCAGTTGGCTGCAAACAAGCCAAAACCTAGTGACCACAATCGTGGGGCTTGGCAGAGGAAGAGGGAAAGAGGATGAAACCTAAAGTGAGGTGGTATTTTAATTAAATATTCCTAGCCCTTTTCCTCAAGAGCTTTGGCAAATCCCTACTCAGTTTTTCTTGAGTTGTTTTCTGAGCTTGGGGGAGTAGCACCAAAAGCCTTCAGGTTGGTACTAGGACAAATCCCATTCACTACCCCGAACTGTGCCCCTCAGCGATCATTCTAGGGATCCATAGTCGGCTTCCTCTTTGGTTCCTAGCAACTGCTATTCCAGACACGTCACCTAATAGAATAAGCAAGCTGAATTCAAAATGTTATCTTGATTATCATTCTCAGCTGAGAATTTTATCTATTAGGGTGAAAAAGCCTAGGTTATTGGGTGTGACCCATAACAACTTAACCACCCCACCACAACACTCTGTGCAACCACATCTGCCCTGGGCTGCCTCTTCCCTCATCCCTGGGAAACGGGGCCTCTTCTTCCCCAGCTCAATCCCTCGCAGACCCTCCACCACACCACCCACTCCTGTCTCCTCTGGGGAGCCTACACCATGTCTTCAACCTCTCCTTTTCCAACTGCTCTTCCTCCTCAGCTCATAAACATGCTCAGATCTCTATCTGCTTAAAAATGATGAACAAAAGAGTCCTCCCCTGCGATTAGCCTAACAAATATTAAAATATTTTATAAACCTACAAAAAAGTTCCAAATAGAAGACATTCAAGCGGCCAACAGACACATGAGGAAATGCTCGCATTCACTAGCCATTAGAGAAATGCAAATTAAAACCACAAAGAGATACCATCTCACCCCGGCATTACCACATGAATCAAAAACACTGGAAATAATAAATGTTGGAGGGGCTGCGGGGAGATCGGAACTCTTACGCACTGCTGGTGGGAATGCATAATGATACAACCATTTTGGAAAATGATATGGTGCTTCCTTAGAACGCTAGAAATAGAAATACCATACGATCCAGCAATCCCACTCCTACGAATATATCCTAGAGAAATAAGAGCTGTCTGTCACACGAATAGACGTGCACACCCATGTTCATGGCAGCACTGTTCACAATAGCAAAAAGATGGAAACAACCTAGATGCCCATCAACAGATGAATGGATAAACAAACTATGGTACATACACACAATGGAGATTATGCAATGATAAAGAACAATAATGAATCTGTGAAGTATCTCATAACATGGATGAAACTGGAGGACATTATGCTGAGTGAAGTAAGTCAGTTACAAAAGGAGAAATATTGTATGAGACCTCTATTGTAAAAACTCATGAAAAAGTTTACACACAAAAAGTAACAATCTTTGTTGGTTACGAGGGATGGGAGGGGTGGGGGGGAAATACTAAATAGACAATAGATAAGTGGTAACTTTGGTGAAGGGTAAGACAGTACATGATACTGGGGAAGCCAGCACAACTTGTACAAGGAAAGGTCATAGAAGCTCCATAGACACATCCAAACTCCGAGGGACTGAACTGCTGAGCAGAGGGCTGTGGGGACCATGGTCTCAGGGAACATCTAGCTCAATTGTCATAACACAGTTTATAAAGACATTGTTCTACATTCTACCTTGGTGAGTAGCGTCTCGGGTTCTTAAAAGCCTGTGAGCAGCCATCTAAGATACTCCCCTGGTCTCACCCCTTCGGTAGCAAGGGAGAACGAAGAGAATAGGATACAAGGAAAAGATGAATCCAAAGGACTAATGGACCACAGCTACCAAGGCCTCCACCAGACTGAGTCCAGTACAGCTAGATGGTGCCCGGCTACAACCACTGACTGCTCTGACTTGGATCACAACAGACGGTTCTGGACAGAGCTGGAGAAGGATGTAGAACAAAATTCTAACACACAAAAATCACCAGATTTACTGGCCTGACGGAGACTGGAGAAACCCCGAGACTATGGCCCCTGGACACCCTTTTAGCTCAGTGGTGAAGTCACTCCCGAGGTTCACCGTGATCAGCCGGGGATTGGACAGCCCCATAAAACAAAACGGGACTAATGAGGCACAGCAGTCCAGGGACAAGGACTAGAAGGCAGAAGGGGACAGGAAAGCTGGTGATAGGGAACCCAAGGTTGAGTAAGGGCAGTGTT